CTGGCTGAGGTCGTCCTTGCTGCCGCGGCCCGTGCTTAGCGTCTGACCTCTTTCTAGGACCTGCAGAAACACCTCCCTGCGCCCTGCTCCCTGCAAGGTGTCCGCAGCGGCTCAGCCTCGGCTCAGGCCTGACACCGACCCTACAGATGCTGAACTGGGCCACAGGCAGCCAGGAACCCCACCCCCCCTCTGCACCTTTCTAGCAAGTTCTTTCTTGAAGGGAAATCCCAGCGGCCAGCCCCAGGTCCACCACGGCAAGCTACCCATTTGGGACCGTTGCCGAAATGCATCTTGACTTCGTCCTGCGGGAACTCTGCGTGGGCCGAGAGCGAGGCCTCACTGCCGTGGGCGGGTCCCGCCCCGGAGTCCCCTCCCCACGGACTCAGCGGCAGGGACAGTGAGTCACCGGAGTCTCGGGGGACAGGGGTCGGGGTGCAGCTGGGGTGAGTTAAACTCTCTACAAAGTGCGGAGAAGTGTTGCACAAGACAAACCTCACCCGGCCGCCAGCGGGAACACGGGGAACTGCGCTCGGAAGCCGCGTCTGTCCCCAGCTCGGCCCCACCCGCCCTGTTCACAGAGCATCACTTTCCCGGGATATAAAAAGTCCTCAGAGGGAAATGTTTTGCCAGTGGGGAAGAGGTAAAACAAAAAAAACAGCAGAAACACTAAAAGGCATCACACTCGACGAGTTCAAACACTGTTTTGAACAGTGGAAAAAAAGGTCTCGGTAGGTGCATCGCATCCAATGGAGAGGACTTGGAAGGTGGCTGAAGTTTAAACATGTACAAATACAAACACAATTTTTTATAAATAAATCCAGGTTTGGGGGGGTCCCCCTGGGCCCCTGACATCATAACCCATTCTTTTTTAAGAAAACAAATGAAATCAAACCAAAAGTCTATGTGCTTTTCCTCACATCCACTGAAGACCCTGCCGGAGCCGGGGCGCAGATTAGAGACCAGGGCAGCACCCAGGGGCCTGAGCCCAGGCGCACCTGGAGAACAAGGGGAGGGGCCCAGTCCTGGGCAGGCGGGAGGGGAAGGCTGTAGGGACCGCCTTCCCCAGGTGCGTGGGGTGGCAGCGGGGCACTAGGCACAGGGAAGGGGACTCTGGCACCCAGAGCCCGGCGTTGCTGTAGAGGCCTGGCCAGTGGGCCCCAGGTCCACCCGGCAGTGGAGAAACTCCAGCAGAGTGGCGTGGCCAGCGCCTTGTTTATCTCTACGCGATGCCACTTGCTGGGGACCCACACCCTGTACCCCACGCACCTTTCCTGCTGGCGGGAGCCTCCTCCTCGAGGGACCCGCGTTGGGGCTGCAGTCCCAGCTCCCTCCGCCCAGCCCGGATGATCCTGAGCGGACTCACCCTGCCCGCGGGGCCAGGGCACAGCCGCCCGCGGGAAGGAGGGAGGGAGGGAGGAAAAGGAAGCTAGTTCGTAGAAGTGATAAGTCTTTTTAACGCCCTACGGCTGAGACGACGACGGAAACCTCCAGAACGGCCAGAAGCTCGGCCTGGACAACGCTCGTGGGACCCGGGGAAAGGACCCCAATCCAACAACGCGGTGGAGTATCGGCCGCGCTTCACGGAAGAGGGAACCGTGAAGAGGCACGGCCGTCACCTCTTCCGTCTTTTCGAACAAACTCCCACCACGGGAGCTTCTGCTCCGCGTGGGCACGAGCCCACGAGCCGGCTGGGCGCAGGGACAGCGACACGCGCGGTGGGCTGTAGCCGCCTGACCCGGGAGGCGTGCGTCCCGGCGGCAATCGTCCGCGCGGGGTTCGACACGAGGGGCGCACACGAGTCCGGGCAGAGCTGCTGACCCCGGCGTCCAGGCGTCTGAAATCCTTCCGCCTGTGCTCTCGGCCGGCCGTGGAGGCTGTAAAACGCCAGAGGCCGTCCCGCTGGAACCAGACACCCGAAGACGTGGCGAGCCCCCTAGCGCCGGGGAAAGAGCCTGAAAGCTCCCCAGCCGCCCGCTAGGGTCCGCTCGGGAGAAACCTGTCGTTGCAGGCGCCGCAGACCCTAATGGAGATCAGATGACGCGGCCTCCTGACAGCCCAGCCCCGGAGCTCCTCCTGGTGGGCGGTGGACAGCTCAGCAGATACGGGTCTGCGGCGGGGCTGCTCTTCCTGCTGCACGTGACCGTGGGGATCCTGGGTCCCCGGGTTCCCCTGGATCCGCCTGGACCACAGGGTCAGCCGCAGTAACCCGCTCTTGCCACAAGAGGGCACCCGAGGGCAGCGCAACAGAGCCGGTTGCGCCGGGAGTCCGGCTGGCCTGGGGGCCTGTCCTCAGGGGAGGGGTCGGCAGGAAGCTCTCCCAGGAGCCCGGTGAGGCAGCTGGACAGACGGAGGCGGGCAGGGTCACCGGGTTTCTGCAGACTTCACCCCTGGGAGGGGACCCCGGGGAGCTGGGGCGGAGAGGGCTGGGGAAGCCAGGGGAAGTGTGGGGGCCGGCAGCCCCTCCGGAGGCCCCGCCGCCTCTGGTCTCCGGTGTCCCAGACACTGACCACTGACCTTGCATGGACTGCACCCGGTGCTCAGCCTCCCTGTGGGCTCAGCCCTGAGGGGCGCCAGCCAGGCCTCGGGAGCAGGAGGGGACAGGCTGAGGTGCTAAGCCCCCACCCTCCCTGCCTGCCTGTGGTAGCCCTGGCTGTGACATGCCCACGGCGATGGTGGCACAGCCTCTCTCTCTAGCAGCCCCCTGCTCCTCTGTGTTCTGGAACCTTCTACCTCATCTGCCCCTAAGGCCTAAGGGGCAAGGCTGCCGCAGTGGCCCGTGCCAAGACAAGTCACCCGGCCCTGCTGGCTGTCCGCGGTGCGCCCACACCTCTGGCAGGGAGGAAGGACTCAGGGATGCCCAGGGGGTGCAGGGCTGGAGTCCCCACGAGGCCAGGATGGGAGCGTGGGCTCTGTCCTTGGCTGGGAGCCCTTTGCTTCATTGTGGGGCTAACCGTGGCCCCTGGGTGGGCCGGAGCAAACCCGGGTGTGGAGCAGAGTCTCAGGGTGGCCCAGGCCTCGGTGGACCCCCTCAGGTCCTGAGCGCTGGGCATGAACGGGCTTCTCTCCAGGGCCCACACGCCGTCGCCAGGAGCCCGGGAGCCAGTTCCCCACAGCTGCCGCCGCCGCCGCCGGCCCCACGCCAGAAGCCAAACACCCCACGCATGACTCAGCGGCCAGCAGAGAGCCGGTTTCCCACGGTTTCCCGGGCAACGCAGACCTGGTTCCCATCCCTCTGCCTCCGGGAGCGGGAAACAGTGCCCGGCTCCCCACCCTACCCTGCCCGCCCGCCCGGCCCAGCGCCCGCCGCCCCTGCCCAGCGTCACTGGTCTGGCCCGAGGAAGGGCCTGGGCCCCCTCGGGCGTCCGGGCCCCAAAGGGAGGAGCTGGGAGCCAGTGGGTCTCCCAAGCGGTAGCTGCTTGCTCGAGGTGGGGACCGAGGGCGCAGCCTGGCTGGCTGCGGAGGGTCCCCAGAGGTCTCTCACTTCTCCTGGTCCCGGGGCTGCACGCCAGGACCTTGACCCAGTGCTGGGCTGGAGGGAAGCCCCAGCACTCCTGACACCGCTCCCCGGGGAGTCCCAGGGCTCCCTTCGCTGGACGCCAGGAGCCACGCCGTGCAATGTGCTGGCGAGGCTCCCGGTAGGTCCCGAGTCACAGCCCTGCGGGGAAACAACCCCCCAAGGGACCCGGCATGCGGGGGCTGGGGCCACCGGCTAACCCCGCACGGACACCAAGACAGGAGATCTTTCTGTAACATTTGCTACTAAAAACAAACCCCCCAAAAGCATTCAAGTCACAACGGTGAATAAAAACTCTTCTGGGGGGGAGGGCCCAGGCTGGACCTCCACAACTCACTTCTGGCTCAGGCTGCTTTTATTTGGAGTCGCGTGCGGGGAGCGAGTGAGAACTGGGGCCTGGGTTTAGGGGCCCCAGTTTCCACGGATTCCGGAAACAGCGGGCCTTTCCTTTCCTTTCCTTCCCGGTCTCCGAGGGGGTCCCTGAGCTGGGGCTCCGCGTTCCAACCAGCAAGTTAGTGCGTCGAAGGCCGGGTGTCACAGGCCCCTGAGGGTCCCGGGGAAGGACCGGGGCACGAGCTGCGGGCATGAATCCCCGGTCTTCCTGCAGCCGCCCCCGGCTCCTCCTGGGCCGGGGGCCCACGACCAGGCCCACCCAGGGGACAGACGCGGGGGCAGAGCGCCTGCGTGCCTGTGGGGGACTCTCCCGCCAGGAGAAACCTCATCCCTGCCTTTAATTACGCGTTTGCGTTCAGCTCTTCGGCCGCAAACGGAAAGGCTTTGAGGCCAGAGCCAGGCCCCGAAGGAGGCGGTTGGTAGACTTGGGGGTGGGGGGCGTCCCCTTTATGGGGGGGAGGGGTGAAAGGCGCCCTCATCTCTATTGCACGCGGACTGCACCCGCGCTGCACGGAGGCCTCGCGTTGCTCGGGGATCTCGCCCGCGCTGCACTGCCCTGTCGCAAACGCTCGTCTTGCCCCGGGAGCTCAGACCTCCGAGCACCGGAAGGCACCCCGTGTTAGAAGTGGGGAAACTGAGCCCGCCCGATGGGGGCGCTTGGGCTGCAGCGTCAGTTTCCGGGCGTTAAACACCCTGGCCCTGCCGTCCCTTTAGGGCAGGAGGTTGGGCACCGCACCTCTAGTGATGACCCCCGCCCCTCCACCGTTGGCCTCTTTCGCCCCCTGTCGGTGCGGAGGAGTCATGGCAGGAAATGACCGAGAATGGGGCTTGGAGCTGCACCGCCTGTGCTGACCACAGGGTCTTGCCCGGCCGGGCCCACTCTGCCTATTCTCGGGCGGACATCCAGGGCAGGATGTCCACAGGGACCGAGCTGTCGTCTGGAGACCAAGCGCCGGTCTCACTGATGTCGGGGACCAGCCCCGGAGGATGCCCCTGACCTTCATCCCCTGCAGTACCTCCCCCCCAAAGGTGGACATGTGATCGGGATGCAGGGAAGAGGGGAGAGAGAAGGAGAGGACGTTTCAAGGTGAGGATGACCACTGTCCCGAGGACCAAGGCTGACGTCCACAGCGTGCCTGTTCGGTCAGTGTCCCTCCTGCTGCAGATGGTTGACAGGAGAGGCCACACTCACGCACGGCACCCATGGTCCATGCACGGATCCAGTTGTCCCACCCGATTCCCTCCAGTCCCTCCCTGACCAACCAGAGAAGCTTGCGTGCCAGCCAGGACCCGCGGGAACCCTCCCTGGTCCAAGCCCCCCCCCCACCTGCCAGCCCCCCGAGTCTCTGGCTCAGCAGATTGGTGCTGGAGGCGTCCTCTGGGGCCCCCCGGGGAGCAGAGGCTGGTGGGGTCTACGGTCCTGCAGGATGAACCCCTCTTCCCCCTGTTCCTGCTGCGTCCCCCATCGGAGCTCTCACTCGGACGGAGCTCTAGCAAAGCGATGTCACAGCGCCCACGCCGCTCTGCCCTGGAGCCCACGCCCCGCAGAGCAGCGTATGGGGACCCATGTCCGAGCGTGCCCGCTGGGAAGTCCAGTCCTGAGCGGGGGCGACTCCTCCCCAGTCAGTAAACTCCATTCGGCTCCTTCGAGGTCTGCCCGCACACACGCACGCCCGCCTGCATTGGGTGACGCACAGCAGCCAGGGCCACAGCCTTGCCGGGAAAGACGGCACCGCCGATCCCCGGGAGGAAACGAGGAGAGATGGGGGGCCAGGCCGCGAGGACCAGCCCCCTGTCGTGAGACATCGGCTCAGGGGAAGTCTCCCCGGTGTCCCGGCACCAGCCCCTCCGGGGGCCTGCGTTTCCGGGCACGCGCACTTGTGGGGCGGCGACAAGGGAAGGACGCTGGTGGGCTTTGATGAGAGAACCGTCCCTCCAACCCGTTCTTTCCGGAGCGAGAAAACAACGACGGTCTCAGACCGACTCAAGAAGCAGGAAGAGGCCAAGCCAAGGGGGGGCCAGGCCTGGGAACCCGGTGCGGGCCCAGGTCCCCCGAGGCAGGGAGGGAGCGGGGCCCTGGAGGAGGCGGAGTCACAGTGGGGCGGCACAGCCCCTCCCCCCCAGCCCACGGGAAGGCACCAGGCCTCTGTCCCCAGGGCCCCGGGGAAGGCACTATGAGCTCAGCCCACCTGGGACCGGAAGGCACAGCACAGAGCTCTGTTTGGAAAATGTCCATCGGTCAAAGTCAAAGTCAAAGGCATTCTCTAAATGCGTGACTGTGACTGTGAACACTGTGTATCAGACACACGGTCACGGAAGGCTGCGGGCCAGGCCGGCGGCCGTCAGAGCGCACGTCCCAGTCCCGGTGCCCCCGGAGCTCCTCCCCAGGGGGCCAGACGCCGACAGGCAGGCCACCACACGAAGCTGGCAGGTGGGCTCGGAGAACGGCCTGCAGGAGCAAGCAGGGACTAACCGGCCCCAACGGTGCAGAGGGTGGCTGCCCAGAAAGGCCCTACTGGGGGCGGAGCCAACAGGGAGCCCCACTGGGCCGGTGGGGGACGGTGAAGTTCAGAAAGGGGCTGGAGCGCCAAGCAAGCAGGGGCAACGGCAGACAGGTACTTGGTTTGGGCTCTGACCCCCTGGAGGAGCACAGCTCACTCGGGGTCAGCCTGCGTCCTTCCAGCGGGGAAGCCACAGGCCCTGTGCTGGGGAGGAGGGGGCGGGGCCGACGGGAAGCAGGGGGGCCGGTGCCGCCTCCCCCAGCCCTGCCTGCCATTCCCCGCCCAGCTGGTCCGGCTTGGCTTGGCTTTTCCATTTTCTTTTCTTTCTTTCTTTCTTTCTTTCTTTCTTTCTTTCTTTCTTTCTTTCTTTCTTTCTTTCTTTCTTTCTTTCTTTCTTTCTTTTCTTTCTTTCTTTCTTTCCTTCCTTCCTTCCTTCTTTCTTTCTTTCTTTCTTTCTTTCTTTCTTTCTGTCTGTCTTTCTTTCTTTCTTTCTTTCAGAATGCTTCCCAATATAGAATTTTTCTCAATTTTCCAGGTCCATCCATTTTTAAAAAATTAATTAAGCCTGATGAAAACACGTTTTCTTGTAATTTACAGATGAGTTGCTGGACGTGGCTGGGACTGGAGACGCTACTTTTTGTGGGCTCGCCTTCCCGGACGTCCATCCCAAAGACGCAGGTGCCGCAGTGAGCCCCGCGCTCGGCTGGCCGGGAGGATTTAGACGGGGGCCTGCGGGGCGCTAGGGCGCCTGGACCACCCGCAGGACCACCCGCAGCCAGTAGGGGTCAGCGGGCCTCCGGCATTAATCCTGGACCCGCCGCCCGGGAGGAAGCTGGTGGCTCCTGACGCCAGAGGGCGCTCCCGGGTGGGCAGGGACCTCCTCTCCCCGGGGGCCCCCTCTCCGTGAGCGGAGAGGAGCCCAGCACTCGGTGGGACTTGTGGAGCCCCCGCCTGGAGGCCCCTGCCCTCAGCCTGTCTTCCACCGTGAGCTCCCCTCCGCAAGGCTGAAGCGACCCTCGCTCTGCCCCCCACCCCAGCCAAGGCTGGTCTGCAGACCACCTCCCCAAGACTAGGCGGCGGGAGGGCCCTCTACCGCCCCCTGGTGTCCACCCACCACCCGACTTCTCCAGGGTCCCTGATGGCCCCGGCAGGGAGAGGCTCCGGCTGGAGGGGGTGCGAGGCGCCTCTAACTCGCTGTGTGACCTGGGGGAGCCGTCAGCCCCTCTCTGGGCTTCGGTTTCTTCGTCTGAAGGACACAGACTGGGCCGCACAGTCTTGAGAAAGAGAAAGCCAGCCCCAGGCAAGGGAACAAGGCCGGACAGTCACAGGGCAAGGGCAGAAAGCTGGGGGCCACACCACTGAGGGGTGCCCTGAGAAACTGGGGGGAGGGGAGGCGGGGCAGAGGCTCAACCGCGAGGCAGAGAATGTCAGGGCGAGGGGACACAACCGAACCCCACAATGCTGGCCGGTGCCCCCCAGCTCCCCGCTCACCTCTCCCCTCCTCCCTCCCTGCCCCCTCCCCCGTGCCCCCTGAGTGGCTAAGCTACGAAATCAGATGTTCTGAAGGATCCTTCTGACATAAAGGATATTGTTGAGACAATTGGCAACATGGGAGCGGGTTGTCATGACGGAGTGATAGCAGCATTGTATCGTTTCCCAACTTCCAGGGGGGTGGGGGCGCCACAGGTTGTGCGTGTTCACCCAGAGTGTGCACATCCCCTCAGCAGCTCACTCGCGGGTGGGGGGGGGGTTCTTCACATCACACCTGCAGGGCGCTGTGATTCTGAGATTGTGTCAACCGTTCAACATCTTTGCAATTCTAGAATTTTCTCTTAAACATCGCATGCGTCCTCGGAGGCAGCCATTTCCGTTTCGGGGTTTATTGTACAGGTGCGTCGGTGTGAGGTGTTGTCCCCGCGCACACGGGTGGGGAGGGGCGCCCAGACACCGCTGGGGACGGCGGTCCTCGAGGAGGAGGAGGAGGAGGAGGCACGTTGGACGTTCCACTCCATACCGTGCGTATTCTTTACCTTGCACCTCTGCCATCTACCGCCCGCATCCGTTTTGTGCCTTTGAAAACCTACTCGTTCAAATAAATAATCACTGACGTTTCAAACCTGTTTTTAAGTCTTCCGTCGAGGAACTTACAGCCCCCATACCAACTTTGGGGGGAGGGGTGTTAATTTTACAAGCGATGGTGAGGACGGCCCCGGGTTGTGGAAACCGGTCCAAGTAGAAGCTGAACGCACCCCCAGGGCTCGCGCGCACCAGCGGGCGGGGTTTGCTGAGCGCCCCCATCCGCGGGCGGCCCAGGGCCCTGAGACCCCCAAATCCGCCGCCAGCGCTTTCCAAGGCGCACCTGCACCCCAGTGCTCTCGCCGGAGTGACGTTCTGTGGGTTTTGAGAGCTCCTTACAAATTCCCACAGCGATCCTATCAGGTTTCGTGTCCTCTGATGTAAAATGGGGGTGATAATAGCTGTTCACCTAAAAGCGTTCCTTATTTAAGTGTTTATTTATAGTCCTGTCCGCATTATGCAGATATGGAGCTGAGTTTCACAAGTAGCCCCCGGGGAAAGAATGTAGCGATCTTTTCCTTTTAAACGCTAAGTGAGAGGGAGGAAGGGGGCGCTCTTGCGCGCCCAGATGCGGAGGAGAGAGGGAAGGTGGGGATTGGGAGGGACGGACCGGCGGGCGAGCTGGAGCTCGGGGCTGCGCCGGAGCCGGTCTGGGCTGGACGCGCCGAGCGAAGGCGCAGCTGGGAGGAGGGGGTTCCCAGCGCCCGCCCCGCGTCCGCCCGCGCGCCCCGCCCCCTCTGCCGGGCGCGGACCCTGACTCCGCCCAGAGCCGCGGCGGCGGGACCCACCTGCCGGACTTTTCTTGGTGGGCGTGGCCTGGGCGCCCGCCAGGCGGCGGGGCTCCTGGCGCTGTGGGCTTCCCCGTCCGGGGGCGTTCAGATGCCGGGCGGGATGGAGGGTGCTGAGGGGACACGGGATCTGCGCGAGGGAACCCCGGGCTCCAAGTCCCGCTGCCCAGCTGGCGTTCCCGCTTAGTGGGTGGCTTTGGCTAACTAAGGCGCTTTTCCTAGCCTCAGTTTCCCCTTCTGTAAAGCCGGAGGAAGGAGCGTCCTCCCTGCAGAGTTGGGGCGGGAATTTAACCAGGCACCAAGCCGCGGGAGCGGTCAGGCAAGCGGGTCCCATCCACCAAGGGCAGAATCGTCCCGCGGTACCATCACACGACAAAGTCGCGCAACTCTCCAGGTGCAGGCGCGACTCACCAGGTGCGGGTGCAAGCCACCCCTCCCCTCCGCCTCCTTTCTCCCCGAAGCTGGCTTGTGACAAGGGGCGAGGGGTCCCCTCCCGCCCCAGCGCCTCCCGCGCGGGCACCGGGGTGCACGCCCCTCCTCCCGGCCCAGCACCCGGAGGTGCCTGCGCTCCCGGAGCTGGGCGGGGCGCAGCACATGTGACCCGGGCGGGCAGCACCAGGGCCTCGCCCCCCCCCGCCCCGCCCCCCCCCGCTGCCCGCCAGGCCGAGGCAGTCAGGCGCCCTGCGCCCTGCCGCCTGAGTGTGCGTGACCAGACGCCCAGCCTCCTCCAGAATCGGTAAGTGCCGGGAGCAGGGGAATGGTTGGGGCGCCGGTGGTGGCCAGGACAGGAGACTCAGGCTCAGGGGGGGTCCCTGGAGATGTGACCCCCCTCTCATAGCTCCAGGCTTGTGAGGAAATCCTGTCCCGCCCGCAGAGCCCCAAACCTCAGACTTCACCTGGCCACTCTGACCGGACTGGTCTGGGTCACCAGACGGCCCATTCTGAGGCTTTCAGTCAGGAGCCCTGTCGTGGGTCTGCGTGCAGGTGCAGACGGAGCCGAGCCGAGGCCGCTGCCCCGCAGGGGTCTCACTGGGCTGGCCGCCCAGGGCCCAAGGCTGTTGGGGTGATACTTCCTCCTGGGCTCCCTGCCCTGCAGACCTTGGGGGCCGACCCCGGAGGATGTCCTGGCCTGGGAGGAGGCTCCCCGGCCTCCGTCTGGGCACGCAGAAGCCTCAGTTTCATTGGAATCCTCTTTTGTTTGCTGCCAGGCCCCCTCCTCGCCCGCCCTGCGCGTTGTAGAGCTGTGGGGGGGGGGGTCTGCGGGCAGTGCCTGAGCCCCGCCCCCTGTGACTGCCCCCCCCCCCCGTTTGTTTCACAGGCTCCGATCACGCCCAGACCCTGAGCTGAGGGCCCCACTTCATTGTCAGGTGGGTCGGAGCCTTTATATCTTCCCTCCTTTTCATGTGGGTTTTTAATCTTATTTACACACTTCTTTCTGAGAGGTTGGGGTGGCCGTGAGGGGAGGGGAGGCCCCGGGGGCCCACTGACCGCAGAGGGCAGCCCTGCCACGGCGTGAAGGCCAGGGAGAGGCCGGAGCTGGCAGACCACGGGCCGAGGGGTGGCGGCCTTGGCACCGGGCGAGGCAGCGCCACGTGCACAGACGGGCGCCAGGGGCTGAGAAGGCACCGCCGGTGGAGTGGGTCTGGTGGGAGGACGGGATGGGGGGAGAGCAGGCTGATGGGAAAGGGGCCCCTGGTGGCCCTGGGTGGCAGTGTGGTGACGGCCCATGTGGTGGGGTCGGCCTTCCAGGTCTGACCGTGCTAGTCCTTGCGGAGCGACCGAGGAGGAAGAGTCCCCCGCCCCTCCCTACTTACAGCCCCCTCTTTAATTCTGACCCCCAGCATCTTGCGGGGTGGGAGAGGGCCGGCGGGGACGGGGGTGGGCACAGAGCCCCATCACTGGGGAGACCCAGAGCCCCTGCCCCAGGTCCCGGGGCCAGCTGGTGGTGGGAAGCCAGCTTCCGACGCACTGCCCCACCCTCGTCCTGCAGCCTCAGCTGGGGACCGTCCTCGAGGTGGGCCCTGGAGCCGAGACCTTCGTGGCAGACGCAGGACCGGAGTCCCTGTGTGACCGGGGGACCTGGCAGGGAGAATGGGCAGGCGGGGGGTTGGCTGCAGGGCGCCCACCCAGTGGTGCACCTGCGGGGGAGAATTCCGGGGGAAATGGGCTCCTCTTGCAGGGGAAGGCTGTTGGGGCTGGGGGCTGGGGGCGGGGCTCCCAGCCAGGGACCGCAGGCCCAGCTGTGGGGGGGGCCTGTGGGACAGGACGCAGGGGTGAGTGCCCAGCTGGGCGGGGCCTTTGCTCAGGAGTGCGCCCGGACCCCCGTCGGCAAGGACAGCCCCGCACACCTGGGCTCTGAGCCAGCCCGCCTGCGGCCGCCGCCAGCTGGGCCTTTGCTGACGGACTTCACCGGGCTTCCCAGTTTTATTTGCTCAGGGGGTGACCGCCACCCGCCCGTCGTCATCATTGTCCCGAGGCTCAGGGTCCGGCCCGCCCAAGACGAGGTCAGGCCCAGGGTCATGAAGGAGGAGGCCCCGCCCAGATTTCTCTTTGTTTTTTTTAAAGATTTCATCTATTTATTTTTAGAGAAAGGGGCAGGGAGGGAGATGGAGAGTGAGAGAAACATCAGTGTGTGGTTGCCTCTCACACACCCCCTACTGGGGACCTGGCCCACAACCCGGGCATGTGCCCTGACTGAGAATCGAACCAGCAACCCTTTGGTTCGCAGGCCAGCGTTCAGTCCACCGAGCCACACCAGCCAGGGCCCAGATTTCTGTTTAATTTGGCCAAAATAGGAACTCAAAGAACTTTAACAATGAAGGTGACCCGCCACCGAATTTCAGCCACCCGGGCCCAGGGTATTCCTGTCATAAAACCGTTTCCGCAGTCTCTCCCCACCCGGGGCCCCGCCGAGCCGGCCCCGCGGGTCTCCCTCACGACCCCCCAGGGTGGGGGAGGGCCGCCGTCTCAGAGATGGGCAGCGAGGTCACTGACTGAGCAGCAGTGGGCCGGCACAGAGGGGAAGCGTTGGGTTCAGGAACCTCGTGACTAGGAGTTATCTGCCCCGAGTGGGCGGGGAGTCTGCCCTCCCCACACACCCGCCCAGAGGGTGGGGGGTGCCTCAGACCTGGCCAGGCGCCCAGCAGCCCTGCGCCCTGCCCAGGCCGCCTGCCCCTGACCGCTGTGGGAGTGGGGGCCCGGTCCCGGTGAGCAAGGAAGTGGGGGCGATGGGCCGGGGATTATGGGCTGAAAGGCTGTCCCCTCCCTGAGGGCCCGTGGGGACTGTGGCGTGGTGGTGCCCGGCAGAGGGGACGGCCCTTCCAGCTGCTCCTGCGTCCCGGCCGGAGGCGAGCCTGATGGGATGCTAGCGACCTGTCCCCGGGATGCCCCCGACTTCCGGCGTATGCACGTCAAATGCTGGAGTCCAACACACTCTCACCCAGGTTAAGACTGTTTTCCCAAACACGACGGTGTGTAGACAGCTTTAAGCATCCTGTTCGTCCCCTGAGTGGGAGGGTTCGGCCACAGGAGGAGACCCGTGCTGTGAGCCGCTGCCCCCCCAACCACTGACCCAGGGACAGCCCCCGGGGGTCGCTGCCCTCCGGTCTCCCCAGCCCCGCCGCTCAGCCCGGGGCAGGGCCGGAAGGGACAGTGAGCACCTGGGCACAGCTCTCCGGGCGACATCTGACGCGTGAAGTGGACGCAGCCTGGTCTTGGCGGGGCAGGTGGGGGGGTGTGTTCCGAAACACATGTTCCCTCGTCACCAGTTTTACTAAACTGAGCGCTGGGGACGTGTCCCTCTCCGTAAGCCCAGGGCCACCGTGGGCGCGTGCAAGCTGGTGCTGGTCCAGGACAACACCACGGTTCCCCGGGGGAGGCGGGGGGCGGGGCATCTCGCTCTGGTCTCCACCCTCCCCCTCACGTCTCGGCGTGGTCCTGGCCGGGCCTCGTCCCCACGAGAGGGGAGGTCCGGCTCAGCTGATGGTCACGGTGCTTCTGTCCGCTCTGGAAATAGTTTCAATGACGGCCCTTCTTAGGATACAATTTTTTTTCAAAAATAGAAAAGAAAAAAAAAAAAACTGAATACATCCCAGTCATCCATCAAATAACTTTTTGTTCCAATTTTTTTAAACCCAGAAACTGTGTGTTCCGGGGAGCATCAAAAACCGTTTTGTTTTCACGTTTCCTCGTCCAGGGTCCAAGTTCAGCTCAAATGAGGACAGGGGAGGGTGCGAGGGGAGGGGGGGCCCCCCGGGCTCTTGGCGGGGGGGGGTGCCCTCCGGGTGCAGAGCTCACAGCCCCGTGGTGTCCAAGGTTGGGCCCAAAGTGGACGTGCTTTCCCACCGGACGGAAGGCACGAGCCAGGGAACATTCTAGTGGACGGCCACGGGACCTCTGTGGGGACCTCCGTCTCAGACGGTGCGTGAGCGCCACTCAGAAAACGTCACTTTTCCTAGTTAACCTCTGACGCGCAAAGTGGATGCATACCCCTGGAGCAGAGCCGGGCGGGGAGCCCGCCGCGGGGTCGGCTGTTCCCAGCCCTCGAGGCGCTCCCGGCGCGGGAGCCTGGGTACGCCCTGCCTTTCACGCGAAGGCTCCCCCGTGAGAGCGGGCAGATGGGACCCCCGCCGGGCATTCCTGGGAAGACAGGTTTCAGGCCCCAGTGCAGGTCTCCTGAAGTCGCCGCAGGGTGGCACGTAACCTTTGTCCCCCACACAGAGTGTTGCCCCAGAGCAGGGCTGTTCCCTGCCCCCCCCCCCGGGGGATGGGGCATTTCCGCAGGACCGCAGCTGGGGGCTCCCACCACAAAGCACGACCCTGCAGCACACGCCCCGCCCTTGCCGTCACAGACACTCCTCCCAGAAGGAAGGAGAGTGAGGGGCCTCCAGGCGTGGGCCCCAGGACGGGAAGCAGACCCCAGTAAATCCCGGGTGTAGGAACCCCACACGCAGGTTCATCCGTCTGCCCGTGTGGGGACCGTCTAACCCGGGTGCAGACAGGCACCCGGCTGACGCTGCGGTCTGCGACCCCCAGGTGGGACCCTGCCGAGGAGCGGAGATGGGGAAGAAGCTGGACCTGTCCGAGCTCACGGACGAAGAGGCCCAGCACGTCTGGGAAGTCGTGCAGCGGGACTTGGAGCTCAGGCGGAGGGAAGAGGAGAGGCTGGAGTGAGTGTGTGGGCCTCGCAGGGCAGGCGGGCGGGCGGCGCTGGGCGGGGCGCGAGGAAGCAGGGGCGGGAAACGCCCCTCCTGCCGGCCTCAGCCTCCTTTCGGTGGGAACCGGGCCACCTGACCCTCAGGTGTTCGCTGAGTGGTTTCATTTCAACTCGATCCGCCTCCCGGGGCGACATCGCCGCCTGGTGGGGGGAGGCTGGGGCCGCAGCACTGCCAGACCAGCGATACAGGGTGAGGACCTGGCCCACTTGGGAACCCCCGAATGTGGCCACCCAGGGGCTTGGGGCCGAGGCTGGCTTCTCCGACTTCCTTCCCGGTAGCGTGGGTGGCACCCTGTCCCCTCCCCACCGACGGGGCGGCCACCCCCCTGCGGCACCGACCCCCTTCCGCTGTGTGCTCCTCCCCACCGCCAGCGCTCGCTCCCACTGGGCTCCCGGTCACCCTTCCTGGGGGCCGCTGGGGACACCTGGCCGGGGTTCCAGGCAGAGCAGGGAGGGGCGGCTGCACGGGGGGCATTGGGCGGCCCCTCAGCCCTGGCCTGTCCCTGAGCCCCCGCAGGCCCCCAGCGGCGGGCCACAGGACCCGACCTCTGCCCTGCAGGGTGCGGGTTACGGACGTGGTCAGCTGTAGGCACAGCCAGCGAGCTTGCCCACGGGCTGGGTGTGGGGTGCAGAGACTGGGCAGAGTCACAGGTGACTCCGAGGTCATGGCCCGAGCAGCCGAGTGAGGGAGCTGTCCCCTCCCTTGGGAAAGGCACCGTTGGACTGGGCCGGGGGACAGCGGGGAACGGGGAGCCCCGCCTGGTGGGTTGGGGACCCGTCAGGCCTTTCGTAGGCCGGCAGGCCCCCACGCACAGAGCCAAAGCCGAGGGGCACGGCCGCGGCCGTGGGAGTTCCCACCGCGCAGGGGAAGTCTGTGGTCCTCCCCACGGAGGCCGCGGTCGCTGCACGTTCAGGGACTCGGACGCACGGACGCTCCTCCCAGCTCCGGAGGTTCTCGAGAGCCAAACCCAAGGTGGCGGTGGGACTGTGTTCCTTCTGGGGCCGCTCAGGAGAAGCCCCTTCCCCTGCCCTTCCCGCCTCTGCGAGCGCCCACCCTCCAGGCCCCGTCCCTCCCCTTCTCCAGGGCCGGCCTCCTCGGCAGAACACCCGTCACCCGCTCGCTTTCCGACCCCCGGCCCCCGGCCCCCACCCTGCCTGAGAGTCTGGGATGACATCGGGCCCACCCGGATAACCCAGGGCAGCCCCCCCATCTCCAGGCCCGTGACTCAGTCACAACCGCAAAGTCCCTCCTTTGCCAAGTGAGGTGGCGTCCTCACAGGCCTGGGCAGCTGGGACACAGAGGTTTCTGGGTGAGGGGGGCGTGGTTCCGCTGACCCCCGTGTTTAAAGCCGGGGACTCCGCCTCGGTAGGTGGTTCTGCGGGACTCCCTGTGTTTCTTGCACGTGGACGGCTCCCCCGTCGCCCCTGCCATTCACGATCCCTGACCTTTGTGGTCCTTTGGCCCCTTCACGTCACAAAGAGGGACGGGCCCAGGAGGCCTCTGTGGGCTGTTGGAAAGGGGGTCTCCCATGAGGGACCGCCTGGCGGCAGCCCCGTGCCATAAGCGACCTGGGACTCAGGCCACGCCCCCAGGCCAGCCGGTCACGGTCAGGGCCACGTCCTCATTCTGAAGTGGCTGCTGAGCCTGTCTGCTCGGAATGGGCCGGTGGGGGGTGGGGCCGGGGGGCAGGGGGTCGGCCCATCCTCTGCATCTGCTCCGACACCATGTGATGGGGGGCGGGCTTGGTAAACACCCCCCATGCCTCCCAGACGGGGAGAGGTTGTGGGGACCACAGAGTGTCGGGTGGCCCCCCGGGAACATGGGAAGCAGAGAGACAGTGATGGGGGCGTGCACCTCCCAGGGCCGGTCGGTCGGGGCTACCGAGGCCCCAAAGGCCGTCTGGTGCCTGGTGCTCGCCCTGCGAACGGGGCCCTGGCCGGAGACACGCGTGGGAAGGGAGGACCCATGCACATGGATGGGGGTTAGGGAGGCCTTTTTTCTGGTTTTCGTCACTTTGGTGCTTGTTCACGGTGCTGTTGGTTCAATGAGCAACGGATGGCAAAGCCGCCCCTGCCTGGGAAAAGCCTTTCCCCCAGAGCCCCCCTCGACCTTTCCCCCTGGCCCCCCACCCCCGTGACCCCAGCCGCCAGCGGCACAGGGTCACGCAGCCCTCGGGCACGAGGCAGGCGTGCCCAGTGCGGCTCAGATGCGTGTAGAATACAGACTCTGGCCCTGGACGCCGAGGCCGGCTCTGCAGAGCGAGTTGGCTAAAACACTGGCAGACTCTTATGAAACTGAAGACAGCTTCTGAAGTGCAGACACCCCTTCTTCCCAGTCTCTTCTCCGTGTTCCTCGAGCATTTAACCAGTTTCCACTCAGAGGATCGCCCACTCCTTGCCTGTAGCCCGTCTGGGTGTCTCCACAACCGACCACCCCGGGGACAGCTTCCCATCTGCTCCCAGTTCCCGATGACACACGCACGGTCCGCGAATCGGCGGGGACCCAGGGCCTCAGGGGACCGCTCCGTGGGTGGCCAGGACAGACCGGGCAGGGCAGGAATTCTGCGCACGAGCATCTGCAGTCTGGTGCCCCACCCGGAGAGGGGTGCCGAGGGGGCAGCCCGGCTGGACGCACCACCAAGGTCAAGGACAGAACAGGGTTCCGGGAGGAAAGCTGCGACACCAGGGAGCAAGCACGCTCGGCCTGGAGAGCGGGCCCCTGTGCTCCTGCACCCGTGGACACAGATGGGGCGGGGGGGGTCCCCCACCAGGAGCCGGCTGCCAGAAGGCAGGCGGCCTGCTGGGCCAGCGACTCACCTCCCAGAAGGCCCACTTGAAAACGTGGAAACAATCCAAGAACAAAAGAAGAGGGAGGGGTCTCTTTTGAAACTTACAAATCCAACAGAAACAAGCCTGCACCAGGGGGATTCCTCCCCTCAGCTGGGGAGGGAGCTGGGGCTGCTCTGGGGAAGGCCTGCCCCCCCACCCCCGCACCCCGCACAGTCAGATGGGCTGTCTCCCACCTCCCTGGTCGTGGCCCGAGACAAAGGAGCCCGCCCAGGCCCCTGACCTTCACAGGCACCTGCCTGACCAGACGACCCCAAGACACCAAAGCCTCTGACCCCTGGGCCAGGCCTCAGCCTCCCCCCGCCCCCCAAGGCTGTGCTGAGAACATCCAGAGACCCCCAGGGAACCCAGAGACATCTCCCTCGTGAGACTGCAGAGGAGGCCTTGGCCCTTCCCCCCGGGAGCCTCCTAACGGCATTCCAGAGACGTGCGTGTTCCTTCCGGGGGACAGGGGTGCCACCCGCAGGGGCCTCCATGGAGCCTTCCTCTGAGCTGACGGGCAGGGATTTCCCCTGGGGTCTGGTCCCCCCCACTCCCCGCCGGCAGCCTGGCACGACCCCCCTCAGGGGCAGGCCGCTCCAGGACCTGGAGGAGAAGGAAGGGGGGGCGGGGCGTCCGGCCTTTGGCTCAGTGCGAGCAGACCTGAGCCCCTCCCCACGGTTGGCGGGGGCGAGCAGGGGCCTGGGAGTGGGTGTTTACTGTGCAGGGCGTGGCGTGTTCCTGGCTCCCCGGCGGGTGCGGTGCCGGCTGCCAGCCAGCGGGGAAGTCAGAGGCGCCCTGAACAGGCTGCCAACGGCGCCGGCGTCAGCCAGCGCTTTCAGAGCGAGGTGGGCGGGGCGTGGCCAGGAGCACGTGGGCGTCGCTGTGGGTGAACTCGGAGCCTTGGGGCAGGGCCGACGTCTGTGCGAGAGAATGGGCGTCCTGGGGCCAACTGCTGCCGGGCGCGGGGCTCGGGCTGTGAGCCCGAGGGCGCGGCCACCCCCGGGTGTGGGGAGGGAGGGTGGACGGTAGAGGCTTTGCTCACAGGGGCTGCTCGGCTCGGACTGGCGCTCCGGCAGTACTGGCCTTCACTGTCCTCGGGGCCCCGGGGGACAGGTGACGAGGGGGACCCCAGGGGGAGGGGGCCCAGGTGAGGCTCCTCGGAGGCAGTGCCAGCCGCAGGTGCGAGAAACCAGCTACCGAGACCCGAGAGGCCCTGTGGGAAGGCCACCGCTGCTTTCTGCTTGCGTTCTCTCCCTTTGGGGTTCAGTTCCAGCGGACAGTGTCCGCTAGTCCGGGCGCCAGGGGGGGCTCACAGGAATCTCGAGAAAAAGCATAGCGGGGGGAGCATGCGCCCCGGTTTCAAACTGCACTACAAAGCTACAATAATCCAAACAGCATGGTACTGGCATGAACACAGACCTAGGGGTCACTGGGGTAGAACAGAGAGCCCAGAGACAAATCCTCACATGCACAGGGTCAATGACCCTGTGGCCGAGGAGGCAGGGATATACAACGGAGAAAGGACACTCTCTTCCACAAGGGGTGTTGGGAAAACTGAACAGGTACATGGGGAGGGGGTGGGAAAGGAAACCAGACCACCCCCTTGCGCCACATACAAGAATAAACTCAGGATGGCTACAGACTTCAGTGTAAGACCTGGGACCATAACACTCCCGGAAGAAAATGCAGGAGGTCAGTTCTCCGATGTTGGTCTAAGTCATATCTTTCTGGGTGTGCCTCCTGGGGCAAGGGGAAGAAAAGAAAAAAAAATAAACAAAAGAGACGGTGTCAGGCTCAAAAAGGTTTGCACAGCAAAGGGCAACATCGACATTACAAGAATATACACGAGTGGGAGAAGATATTGGCCAATGACATATCTGCTAAGGGGTTAACATCTAAAATATATGAAGAACTCATACAACTTGTTGCCAAATTAAAAAAAAATAATAATCCAGTTAGAGAATGGGCAGAGGACCTGAATGGAAAGCTCTCCGCAGAGGACACACAGATGGCCAGTGGACACAAGGAAGGATGCTGAACATCCCCAACCACCAGAGAGATGCAAATTAAAACCACGACGAGATGCCGCCTCACACCTGTCTGAGTGGCCACCACCAACGAACCAACCAACAGCCAGTGCTGGCGAGGACGCGGAGGAAGGGGACCCTCGGCGCTGGGGGTGGGGATGCAGACCAGTGCGGCCACGGTGGGAAGCCACGTGGAGTTTCCTCAGAAACACAGTGGCCATGCAGCCCAGCAGTAACTCTTCCAGGTGTTTGCTGGAGAGAACAAAAGCGCCCGCTGAGACAGGTCTGGGCGCCCCCTACAGGTTCGTGCGTGCACTGCGGCCACGGTGGGAGCAGCCGGGCATCTGCGGGCAGTCTGGCGGACCAGGACACTGCGCTGTGTCCGGTCGACGGGACACCCCGCACCAGGAAAAGAATGACCTCTCACTGCTTACAGTAGTTCGGATGGGCCTAGAGGGTGTTGTGCCAAGTGGAACAAGAGAAAGACAAGTTCCATATGATGTCACTTACATGAAGAATGTTCAATACAAACAAAGCGAATGAATAAGCCAAACAAAGCAGATGCTGATGGCTGCCGGTGGGGAGGGCGGTGGGGGCGGGGGGAAGAAAAACTAGTCAATAAAAAAATGAACTGTAACAGCCCCTCCCCCCCAACACCTCGTTCAGTCCTCTGGCCGCCCCCGGCTGTGGCTCCCGTGCTGTCCCCGGGGACCCACGAGGAGGGACGAGGCCGGAAGACCACCTGGCAGGCAGTCCCTGGCGCGGGAACTCGGGGGCGGGCGGCCGGCCCGGGGCTGTTTTGTGTCATTCCTCAAGACGTGCCCCACATTCACTCACGTTACTCGGGTGTCAGAAAGGCTGTAAGCTCAGACATGGCAGTCACACATCCTTGGCTTTTAGGGTCACATAATCACAGAGGCGCACCAGAGTAAGCTTTCCCGAAAGGACCCTCCGATCCGGAGACCCGGCTCCGGGACGCCCTCCTTCAAGGAGTCTTGAAGGAGAGCTCCGAGGTGGCCCGCCAGCCCAGGGCAGATGCCGGGGCCCGACCTCCTCCCCTGCCCCCCGGGAGTCCCCTCGCTCACTCCCCCTGCCTTATGGGGTGGCCTCTACGCTGTGTCCCAGTGGCACTGCCGGGCTTCCCTCAGGCCAGAGAGTGACAGCGCAGAGCCGCAGCCGGGGACCCGCGCCCCCGGGCGAGGACGGCGGCCGCCCTGAGCAGACGCCCCGCGCCCGCCCCGGCCCACAAGTCAAACAGCAGGCCCGGGCCCGCCCGACAACGCAAACAGCGGGGGATGGGCCGTCGCGATGTCCACAAACAGAGCCGGCTCCGGAGACACTCTGCAAAACGGCGCCCAGCACGAGCCCCGGGTCACGTGCGGCTTGCCTCAAAACATCAGAATACTGAATTTAAAAGTATTAAAAAATAAGAATTAAAAAAGAAGAAAAATGAGAATAATCACACGACAACGACAGCAGGGAGGAGTCGGAAGTCACCCCCAGGCGGCCCGTGGCGCCCGGACAGGACGCCGGGAGCAGACGCGGCTGGGACAGGCGGCCAGCTGCCCGCAGGGCCCGCTGGGTCCAAGGTCGCCCAGCAGAAGGGGGCGGCCTCTCTCGGCCCCTCGCGCCCCACCCCCACTCTTTCCTCCTTGTCACTTTCGTCCTCGTGCGGTCACTGGCTTCAGAGGACCTCGGAGAACGTGGTCGGCGAGTTTCTGTCCCCCCGGGAGTCCTGGTGTTTATTCAGCCGACCGGACTGCGGGTCCCCACGACCGCCCTCCAGCGGCCTGATGTCGGGTGTGTCTCCTTCGGCGCCGACCTCGGACAGAGTCAGCGTGGTCGCCCGACTTCTGTCGACGCGTCACCCCCCTCGGTGACTCGGGGGTCTCCCGGCGCGGCAGCCCCTCCCCGGTCGGACCCGACCCTCGTGTCCGGGCCTCTGGAGGGCGGGCGCACCTTCAGACTGTTCTCAGGAGCAGCCGGGCTGCGGATTTTAATTTGGGAATCTCTCGGCGGGGCGGTGGGGGGGAGGGCAGCCTCACTTCCCTTCTCCTCAGGGTCCTGGCAGAATAATGAGCCCCCCAAACGCCCACGTCCGGACCCCCAAACCCGTGAAAGTGTCAGGTTGCGTGGCAAAGGGGAGTGAGGTTTGCAGTCGCCATTAAGGCCACCACGCAGCAGGCCTGGACGTGGGGAGGTGGCCCTGGGGAACCCAGGTGGCCCGATGCCACCACAGGGGCCCGATGAGTGGGAGGAAGTGGGGGGGGGAGCACAGGACAGCCAGAGAGTCCCCGGAGCAGGACTCAGCCCCCGGGGCCAGCGCACGCGCACAGGTCACACAGGTGCCCCCGGAAGCCAGAGGCCCCAGGAAGGATGGCCATCCTACCCACCCTTCATTCCCAGCCCAGTGACACCCGGGCCGGACTGCTGACCTCCAGGACTGGGGGCTATAAGCCAGGGCTGCTTTAAGCCCTGGGTGGGCAGCCTCGCTGGGCTCCTGCCGGCCCGAACCCACTGCGTCTGGTAGCCCAGCCGGCGGCCGCCTGCCCCGAGGGGGCGTCGCCTACAGTGACCTGAGGTCCGCCCCTCTCTCTCCCAGCTGGGACAGCGCTCGCTCCTGGGCCTGGCCGAGCCGCAGGGGCAGCGCACTCAGAAGACAAGGGTGCCCGGTGCCCGTCCAGTGTCGTCACTGAAAGTGCGTACGTTTGATCTCCTCTCGGCCGAAACGCGGCGCCCGGCAGGCGCTCTCCGGGGCGGAACGAAGGCGATGTGCTTGCTCTCTGGGGACAGTTCTCCCGAGAGTCCGAGCTGGCCCGCTCCCCCGAAGCCGTGCGGCTGGACACCGGGTGGTCCGGGACCGGGGTCCCCCTGCGACGCTGGGTGCCGGGCGACTCCTGCCTGGGCCCTCCGAGCCGAGCCGTCCCAGCCCTGCTCTGGGGGGGCCACAGCGGGGCGTCCGCTCACTCACTCCCCCGCTGGGAGGCCCCGAACCCCTCGTAGAGGAAGTGCCGCCTGGCTTTGGCCTCTGGACTCCGCGACCGCTGCCGGGAGGGGACAGTGACCGGTTGGCTTTCTCAGCAGGGCGCCACCCTGCCGTCCACCTCCTGGGCGTTGTCCTCAGCTCGGGGCTGTTGACTCGGGTCAGGGTGGCAGAGGGGATGTGACCGGCCAGGGTCCCACGGAAAAAACAGCGTCGGCCCCGCGCAGAGTCTCAGTGGCCCTTCCTGCTGCGTCCTCTGTGGCGTGTGCTCCGCCCGCTGGTCGGCCACGTGCTGCTCTCTCCTCTCTGACTGTCTCTCAAACACTCCCACTGGGGACAGAAGGTTCCAGAGACCCACCGGCCTGACCCCTGCTGGGCTCCCCGGGGGCCCCCAAGCCCACCCCGTCCGAGGCAGATTAGATACCGGACGCCAGCGACCACGGGCCCACGCTCGCCCCGCTGGACGGGACCCCGGTGCTGGTCGCCCCGCTTGCAGCCCTGCGTCGGAACAGCTCAGGGCTCCGGGCAGGGCCGGAGGGGCCGGAGGGGCCCGGGACCGCTGACCGTCCCCTCTGTCCCACTGAGCTGCACCGGGTCGTGCGGGCAGCGGTGGGCGGTGCCCCAGCCTGTGATTCGGAATTCGTGTGGCTCTGGCTCCCGTTGCCGGTGAGCAAAAGTCATGCGCGTACATCCCAGAAACACGGGCCGCTGCGAACGGTCACGGAAGGGTGAGCACGCCGCGTCACTTCTAATGAAAATACGGCACCCCAGTTCCAAGGCCCCCGAACCCACGTGTCGGGACATGAGGGAGTTTTGCGGGTGCTCCCACCTGTACAGCTGTTGCAGAAACGAGGCGTCCAACTGTCCCCCATTTCCCGTGCTTCCCCGAGGGAGCTGAAGGGCAGGATCAAGAAGGGCAGCCCCCAGAGGGAGCTGGCGTCCGACGCGGCCCGCCTGAGCGAGACCCGCTGTGCCCACTGCCTGCAGCCCTACCGGCTCCTCGCCGCCCCCAGGAGGCAGTGCCTGGACTGCCGCCTCTTCGCCTGCCCCGGCTGCAGCCACGCCCGCCCGGGGGAGGGCTGGCTCTGCCACCCCTGCCACCTGGCCAGGTGAGCCGGGAGCTCCAGGGGCCCCGCTGGGTTGGGGGCCTGGCTCGCCCCTCCGGGGGGGGGGGCAGGCTGAAGGAGGGGTGGGCCCATGTGTGGCCGAGGCCGAGCCTCGGGCCTGAGCTCCGTCCCCCCGCAGGGTCCTGGAGCGGGGCTCCCTGGAGTGGTTCTACGGGCACGTGCGGGCCCGCTTCAAGCGGTTCGGGAGCGCCAAGGTGGTCCGGTCCCTGAGCGCGCGGCTGCCGGGTGCAGGTGAGGAGTGGGCGGAGGGCCGGCGGGGGTTGGCGGGGGCCGGGGGCCAGGGGGTGGGGGCGGCCTCTGTTCCCAGGCTTTCACACTGTGTCGGGACCAAGCAGGTGTCTCTGGAATGTGGGTGTGAGTGCCTGTCCATCGGCCCCTGTTTCTGGGGTTCGTGAAGAGGTTGGCAGCCTGCCTGCCATGTGGGGTGCAGACGTTTGCACCCCTGGCCCGGCCCGACCCAGCCCCCTGGGAAGCCCTGCGTGCTGGCTGCCCCCCCATCTCTGAGGCAGCATGTGTCGGAGTGTCATAGCGCGCGGAGACCTCTCAGACCAGGCTCCCTAGCTCAGCGGCTGATGGGACAACCGGACCCCAGACTTGTGTCCGGGGTCCCCAGGTCCTTCCTCCCTGGGCGGTGGGTTTGGGGTGACACGGAGAAGTCCCCCAAGCCAGGACGTTTGTAAGAGTAACAAGTGTCCCCCTGGGAGCCGCGCTGGGAGAACAGAGGGCTGGGTGCCCCCCAGGGACTCGGGGAGGGGCCGTCACCCAGTTCTCGGGGGGCTCCCGCCCCTGCCTCCCCCAGGCTGCTTCTCCGAGGCTGACGCCGTTGTCTCGGCTGGAGCCCAGAGACACGTCCTCTCCCCCGCCCGCCCAGCCGGCCAGGAGCCAGCTGCAGGGTCTTCCTGCGGCAGAAGGAACGTGGCCCGGCCCCCTCTGCGGGGCTCAGGGGTGGGAACCGCAGTTAGCACTGGGAGAGCCGCACCCCAAAGCACCTGAGAATCTCACCCCCCACGTCAGCTGCTCACGGCGGGAAACCACACGCCATAGCAGAGCCCCGAGGACCCGCTAGGGGCCTGGGTGGGTCCAGGAACCTGTGTCATGTACAGGTCCCAGGGCTCTGGTCCGGAGCTCAGTTAGCCCACTCGGCAGGGAGCCTGCCCATGTCAAAGCTGCCACCACCGAGAGCCAGCAGGTGGCGCTGTGGGGCAGCCGGCCCCCGTGTCCCAGCCGGGGCCAGGACGCAGGGGCCCCAGGGAGGCAGGCCCCAGGCCCGGGGAGGGGCACCCAGGGGCTGGCTGTGCTCTCCCTGCGGGCGCCCACAAACACACTGCATGGGGAGGGCTGCAGGGAAGAGGCACTACAGCTGGGGAAATCGTGCCGCTAAGAATATTCAAACAAAGAAATGATGCAAGTTAGTGTTTTGAAACCCAGCCCAGCCAGGACCTGCAACAGACTAATGACTGAGCACAGCTGTCAGGGGCAGGGGGCAGGGCACCCAGGGTCTTGGGGTGCCCCTTCAGACTGGGGGGTGCGTTTTCCCGACGGCCCCACCACGGGACAGGCGGGCGCTGTGGGAAGAGCGTCTGGGGTGCGAGGAGAGACCCCTCCCTCCGGTCTGGGGGCTCACCGGCCCCCCAGGGGGTCTGTCCTCCCCAGCGCCTCTTCCTCAGCTGCAGGTTCATCCGACCGCGTGCAGAGCTCGCCCAGCACTCCCAGTAAGTCCTTCTTGCTCAGACACTTGTGTCTTCACGTCCACCTCCCTGCCCAGAAGTCTCTGCCCCGGCTGGTGTGGCTCAGTGGACCGAGTGCCAGACTGTGAACCGAGAGGTCACCGGTTCAATTCCCAGTCAGGGCACATGCCTGGGTTGTGGGCCAGGTCCCCAGCAGGGGGCGTGTGAGAGGCAGCCACACACTGGTGTTTCTCTCCCTCTCTTTCTCCCTCCCTTCCCCTCTATTTAAACATAAGTAAACACTTTTTAGAAAGAAAGAAAGAAAGAAAGAAAGAAAGAAAGAAAGAAAGAAAGAAAGAAAGAAAGAAGGAAAGAAAGGAAGGAAGGAAGGAAGGAAGGAATCTCTGTGATGTCAAGAGCATGGGAAATCCTTTGGTTTTCTCTAGTCATGACTGGATCCGCAGAGAGGGGCTGCTATGGCTCCAAGCCTCGCCCCAGGTGCAGAGGGGGACATAAGGAGCTGATGACAAGGGGACTCGGAGATCCTGCTCCCACTCAGTGGTGGGGGCAGGGACCCCACCCAAGGCCACACACACCCCGGGCCTCTGAGACCCAGGTCCGCACCCCCTCAGCACAGACAGAGTCCGCTTCTCGAAGCCTCTGTCTGGCTGTTGGATGTGAGTTTCCTCAAGGCCGTCCCCGTCCAGAGAGAATAAAAATAAGCACCAGGCCTGTGCTCTGAGGACGGGGCGCCCCCGGCTGGCCAGTGCCCGTGTCTGGCGGCCGTGGGGGGGGGAGGGCAGAGAAAGGAGGGGAGAGCGCCCTGGGGCTGAGCCTCAGCCCCGCCTCACTGTGCCCGGGGCCGGGCTGGGGAGCAGGGGAACGAGCCCGTGGGGGAGGCGGGTTCTCCAGGGAAACGGGACTTGGCTCCGGGCCACCTGCCCCCACCGCCACCCCAGGGTCTTCAGATGGTGTAAAGGGGTCGGAGAAGGTGGGGCAAACCCCCCAGCCAGGGGTGACCGGCGGTCACATCGCTGCAGAGCACGGGTTTCCTGCTGTGACTAGGACCGGATTTAGCGGATGCCGGGGAGGTCTTTGCACGGCCTCGTCTGGGTGTTTTGTGACGGACGAATGGTGGGCAGGACGGTGAGGGGATGGAAGGGTGGACTGGGGGAAGGGGCGGATGGACAGACAACGGGGTTGCCTCCAGCCTCTCTCTCCCCGGACGGGTGTGTGCTGCAGGCGGGCCTGAGCCAGGCCCCGGAGACAGAAGCGGGGACAGTGAGCAGAGGGACACGGACGGAGAGCTGGACCCAGCGGCCCAGGCCCCGCCCCTCAGCAGCAAAGTGAGTCTTCCCCGGCCACCCCCACGACCGCCCCAGCTGCCAACCTGGGGTTCTGGCTTCCTGGCGATCTCGGTCCTCGCCTTGAGTCCGCTGTGGTGTGAGCCCTAGGGCATCACCTCCCTCAGCCCTGCCGGACAGTCTCCGAGGTCACCAAGCAGGAGGGTGCGGTCAGCACACGGTCACCGCGAGGACCCCAGAGCCAGCTGTGGGGCGGGCCGCTGCCTGCCGGGAAAGCTGCCTGGACCTCCCGACCTGCGCCCACCCCCAGCCCCCAGCAGAGGGCGCTCCGTCCCTCCCGCTGGGGCCGCCTGTGCGTCTGGAGCGAAGCGAACCCCTCGGGTCTCCTCTGGGAGCCTTTCTGCTTTTCCTAGGACCCAGCGTGAGCCTTGTTTTCACTGGTGTTTGTTTCTGTTATTTTTACATTTATTTGGGGGGACAAAGATAAGCAAAGCAGCCCCCAGGGGTTCGGGGAGGGATGCCGGTCCGACGGGGGGCAGGTTGGAGGGCAGGGGTGGCGCCGGTGACGGTGCGTGGACCCGGAGCCGTGTGGAGAGTGACAGGTCTGCCCGCCGCTCCGCGGGTGGGGACGCAGGCACCCGTGTGTGACAACTGTGGGTCCGCGCCCCACTCCCCAGGCTTCCAGGGCGCCCTGCAGTGTCCGCTCTCCCCCCACCCGTCCGCAGGAGGAGAACCGCCACCTCGGGGCGGGGGCCAGAACCGGCCTCCGCTCCTGCATCTGAGGCCCAGGGAGCTCCCCCCCCCCACCCACCACCTCTGCCTCCCCAGGGGGCGCCCCTCCTCTGCCTGAAACCCCCGGGTGGGCAGCACCTCGCAGCCCGCAGAAGCTGGCCTGCCCCCCACGGCTGGCTGCAGCCTCCCGGGGCCTGGTCCTCGGCCCGGCCCGTCTGAGCGGCCGTGTGTCGGTCCATCGTGGACTTCTGCTTCTCCAGCAGCGGGGTGCTGCACGCACACACCTGGAGGGGTGGGACGGGGCGGGGGGATCGGCCCCGAGCTCTGTTTGTTCCCAGCACCCACCCTGCAGCCCAGGGGCGAGGGGCGTCTGGCCCTCCCCCTCTCCTGACCCCGCCTCCCCTCCTGCCCAGCCGGTGCCCTCCAGGGGGAAGCGCCTCCTCCCCATTCACAGCCGGGACTTCGAGGCCGACTCCGACGACTCCGCTGGGCCGGGCAGCCGCCCCCCAAGCCCGTCCTCGGCCCCAGAGCCCCCGGACGGCCTGCAGGTCGGTGGGCGCTTGTCTCCGCTCCCGCCCTACCCTGGGGTGGCCTGAGCCACAGGTGGGGGCGAGGTCCAGGAACGTCACACCCTCCCAGGACCCGAGTCCCCAGGGAGGCTGAGCTGGTGGTGTGGGCCTGTGGGGTGCAGGGCAGGGAGTCGGGGGCCTGGGGTGTTCAGTGGGCGCTTGTCCCGGAAAGAAGGCAGAGCCGGTGACTCACCAGGGCCTCCTTTCCTGGGGGACGATGACCCAATGGAGGGGGCCCTGTGCCAGCCCCAGGAAGGGCGGAGGAGGGGGGTGGGGCTGCAGCCAAAGGGCACCTCGCCCCCCACTCTGCCCCCCTGGCCTTCAGGGATTATGAAGATGTGCCCAGAACAATGCACCTCCCCCCAAAATAACTCCCCACCCCCTCTCCTCAGAGCTCCGGTCTCTGGGGGGACTAAGCCGCCAGGCTGCCGGAAGTGTCTCTTCCTCTTGGTGTGACAGGTGGCCCTGTGTTCGGGGACACAGCCTTCTCCCCAGGAGACAGGGGCAGAACAGGCCATCAAAGCAGGATTCCTGAACCCGAAGGAACCTGCTTTGTAAGGGCGCAGAGGGGGCAGGCGTCTAGGGCTCCATCGGCCAGACGACGTGCAGGGAGTGGACCAGAAAGACCCGCCGCAGGCCAGCGAGCTGCCCCCAGTGTGAAACCTCCTCTGGCCGGCAGGTCCCGTGGGCTCAGGCCCTCACCGGTGAGCCCCGCCCAGAGGAGGCCAGCACCGGGGGCTCTGGAGACCACCCCCGTGCAGAAGTGCAGACAGACCGCCTCTCACCTGCCGGATGGGGCGGCCCCGCTGAGCTCTGCCTGCCAGGAGCGTCCTGTGCGGCAGCCCTGGGGGCCGCTGCCTCTCCTGGTAGGTGCCTCTCCTGGGCTCCGCGTGGTGCGGGGGGGCTTCTGGAAACCCGGGCCCCCGTTCCCATTGGGGCAGACACTCCGGCTGATTCCAAGTAGCGCCCCTTCCGTGGGACTGGTGGGCGAGGGCCGTCCTGGCAAATTCCTCGCTCTCCCTGCGCTGGGTGCCCCCCAGCAACACTCGGGCAAACCGGCGCGGACGTCAGAACTGGCCATGCGGCGCCCAGCCACCCCTCAGAGAGGACGTTGTTGCAGGGCAGGGACCTGCGGGTTTTCCTGACATGACTGAGACTGGTGGTCCCCCGTCCGGCTGGGGACAGAGCATCTCCAAGGCAGAGGACCAAGGGTGCCCCTGGGGACCAACGGCACGGGTCCCGAGGGGCGCCCCCTGCCCTGGTGTCCCCTGGGCTCCCGGCAGGGAACCGGGGGGCCTGTGGGTGCCGGGAACCCAGACCCATTCATTGACCGACTCGTTGCCACTTTGCTTTGTAATGAAATCCCAAGGTGCTTCCTGTTCTCGGCCGCGGGGGGTGTGCGTGCCGGTCGGGCGCGCCGGCCCCCGCGGATGTCGGCGCAAATGAGATCAGGGAGGCCGCCCAGCCTTCCCGCTGATGGGCTTGCGAGGTGCGGCCGGCTTCCACTCTCCCCCATCCTTCTGTCGTGGACCCTAATCTCATGAGCCGCCCGCCTCGGGGGACCCGGGCAGCGAGTAAACGCGTCTGCATTGACCGGGCTTCCAGACGAGGACACGCTCATTTCCTCCCTAATCACCCGTGCCCGGGGCTCGGCGGCGGGGTGCCCGGTGTGGGGGGAGGGGAAAGGGACTGTGCCATGCCGAGAAACGGCGCTTGGGGTCCTGCATCGTGGGGCTTCAAGCCCAGCTCTGCTGACCGACCACCCTGCCTCACTGATTCTGAGACACACTCCTGCCCCCGCACTTAGATGTGAAGCGTGTCTCAGCGAGGAGGGTAAGAAAGGACTGTGTCTAGGCGTGATGGGCAGGGCTATTGCTCCTGAGGCTCCTCCTTCCCTGCTGGGCCCCGCCCCCATCTCCCCTGTGGCTGTGTGTGGGTGGGTCCTTCGTGGGGAGGGCATGGGGACAGGGAGCTTTCCCCTCCACGGCCCAGGGATAAGCGTTCCCAGCCTCACCACGGGGGACCCCCGCCCCCAAAGTCTGCCCCTCCCTGTCCCGGCACCAAAACAGCCCGCAGTGACCTGACCGGCGTGGACAGGCTTCCTAACGTCGCCTCCACGCATGGGAACTTCCAGGACCCACATGGGCCACGCTCCACGCCTGTGCGACCCGTGTGGTGCGGTTATGGGCTGTTTGCTTCGTCCATGTGGCCTGCACGCCACCCAGGCCCACGCAGGCGCCGTGGGCAGGCCCGGGCGTCCTGACACTGGCGGTTCTGGGCCCCACGCTGTCGAGAATACACTCCCGGCTTTGTTTTCTTTGATGTTTTTTTCCACTGGAAAGAAGTGCCCACTGGTGACTTCCAGTCCATCACCCCGAATGATCCGAACTGGCTCTCTGTCCACAGGGGCACACGGCGCCGGGAGTGGCCAGCCACCCGCCCCGCCCCCGGCGGGCGAGGACCCCTCCAGCGAAGAGAGCGCCCGGGCCCTCGGGGCCGCCTCCCGCCGTTCCGGACCGAGTGGCCTGGCTGCCTCCGAGACCCAGGTACCGTGGCCGGGGAGGGCTCCTTTTCTGGTAGCTTCTACAGGGGTGGGGGGGGGCCTTTTTGCTTCCACATCGAGTCGTATCGGAGAATTACGCTTTTCATATTTTAAACCCCCGTGACTGCACAAGCCCGCGTAGCCGAGAGCAGGGCTGCCGTCCAAACACACGTTCTCTGTCGGAGGGAGGCCCCCGGGGGGTGGACCACTTGGAAGTGGCGGCTCAGTCACATCCAGTGCGCCCCGATGCCGGCCGGGCAGTCCCCGCCCCTGTGCGCCCCCAGACGTGCTCAGCGGGCACTCCCGGGCCCCCCCCACCGCCGGCCTGGCGACCGCCCCCTGCCCTCTGTCTCCGCGGACTGGCCCGTTCTGGGTCTGCCACCTGATGTGATCCTGGAGCCACCCCACGTGTGGCCTTGGTGACCAGCGTCTCCCTCCGTGCCATGTCTCTGAGGGGCACGCTCATCGCGGCGGGGGTGAGCACCCCCGTCCCCTCGGCGCTCACAGACGTTTCCTGCTCTGCCGGGCCTCGTGTGCTTCCCAAGGGGGAGAGACGACGTGTGATTTCACGCCGTGAGCGGGCCCCACGTGGGCCGTAGGAAAACCTGCCTCAGCGTGCGTGAGGCCCGTTAGACCGGGGGCGCCACTCGCGGCGGGGACGCCGACTCGTGACGCGGCTGGTCCGTGACGCAGCGCGTCGCCGGGCACCTCTGTGCGCCTCGGGCGCTCTGCTCCGAGCTGAAGCCACAGCCCGCCCGCAGACAAGCGATTAGATCTGAGCAACCATGAGTTTTTTTAAAGATTTTATTTATTTATTTTTAGAGAGGGAAGGGAGGGAGAAAGAGAGAGAGAAACATCAATGTGCGGTGGCTGGGGGCCGTGGCCTGCAGCCCAGGCATGTGCCCTGACTGGGAATCGAACCTGCGATGCTTTGGTTCGCAGCCTGCGCTCAGTCCACTGAGCTACGCCAGCCAGGGGCTGAGCAACCACGTTTGATGCGAGAACCGCGTGACCACGAGGCCGAAACAGACTCCGCGGGCTCCGACGGGGCCCTGGCTCCCGGGGAGGGGAGAGTGGGGTTGGGCCGCTTGGTAGCCGGTGGCTCCTGGGGGCGCTGCTCTGGGCGGAGAGTCCGGAGCCTCGGCTGTGCGAGGCTGGCCTCGGGCGCGAATGCAGGAGTCTGGGCAGGCGCTGCTCTGGCTTCCTCCACCTGCTGGTGCTGGGCACAGGCCTGCGCCGTGGGGCCCATGGTGGGAGGGACGCACTTGTGGGGCTCCCCTCCTGGGGCCCACAGGCTGAGCCCTGGGCTGTCGGGTGGAGAGGCTGGGCTAAGGTGGGACAGAACAGACTCCCCAGGATAGAGACCTCCCCCAGGATAGAGACCTTCATAGGATACAGACTTCCCCAGGATAGAGACCTTCCTGAGGTAGAGACCTCCTCCAGATAGAGTTCTCCCCCAGGATAGAGACCTTCCCCAGGATAAAGATCTCCCAGGATAGAGACCTCCCCCAGGGTAAAGACCTTCCCAGGATAGAGACCTTCCCGAGGTAGAGACCTCCTCCAGATAGAGTTCTCCCCAGGATAAAGATCTCCCCTGGATAGCAAGTTCCCAGGATAGAGACCTCCCCCAGGACACAGACTTCCTCGGGATAGAGGCTTTCCTGGGGTAGAGACCTTCCCAGGATAGACACTTCCAAATGATAGAGACCTTCATAGGATACAGACCTCCCTGGGGTAGAGACCTCCCTGGGACAGAGACCTCCCCGGGCTAGAGACCTCCCGGGCTAGAGACCTCCCTGTGTGGCAGGCCCCCAGTGGTGGAGAAGTGCCCAGGGCCCCAGTCAGAAGACAATGGGAGGAAAACGAGAATTACATTGTCAGCTTTCAGTAAGTTTCTAGATTAACCACTTCAGTAACTTTCAGTTAAACACACATCCGGCGGATACTAATCCTCCCGGACCCCTCCTTGAATTCTCTCCTTCATGCTGGTATCCTATCTCCGGGATTTTTTTTTTCTTTTTTTATTTTTTATCACCTCTATTTACTTCGATGAACATCTCACCGGGAACATGTCCCCTGCACCTTTATGTTGGGGGACCGGGCAGGGTGAAGAGCTGCCCCCAGTGCAGCGGTGATGGGGGGGCAGGGAAAACTGGGGCAAACCTTGCAGGGCCTGGGGTGGGGGAGCCCCCTGCCTCTGCCCCACCCACAGCAGGCCACCAAGCCCAGAGGCCCGAGAACAGCGCTGTGCAGGCGCCGGTCCAAGTGGTCCTCCCCCGACCCGTTGCCCGTCCCTGCCTTTGTGCCCACAGGGGGGCTTTTGGGGTGAGGACCCTTCACCCCAGGGCTTTCTCTGAGCGCTCGACCGATCGCCCAGGCCGAGAGGGGCCACAGACGGCACAGCCTGCCATATGAAGGAACCCCGTGGGGCTGAGATGGGGCAGGAAACGGAGGCCTGGCACGTGCCCCTCACCCCGGTGGGGAGCGAGCACCCCCCTCCCGGTACCCGGCCCCCCAGGGACACCGGTGCTGCGCTGGGGCTGCGGACGCTGACTCGGTTTCCCCAGGGAAGCCTCTCCAGGGCCAAACCGTGGCGTCCCTTTCAGGGTGCGTCTGTCTGTCTGTCTGCTCATCGAGAGTGGGTGCTGGTCGGGTGCATGTGCGCCAAAAGCACCCGCTCGTCCCGAGTGTGACGGCCATAGATGCCTCTCTGGGCAGAGTGGGGAGGTGCGGCCAGCCTCCCGGAGGCGGCCCCTGTGGCCCCGAGAATCTGCTGGGGGGGGGAGGGGTGTGTGATGGTGGTGGCAGCTCTGGACAGCAGACAGAAAGCCAGTCGGTGTCACGCCTGTCGTGTGCGAGCTGCCCTGGAGGGGCCCTGCTCCTAGAGGCCCGGGTGCTGCCCGGCCTGGCCGCCCTGGCCCACAGCTTGCCCGACCGCTGGCCGGCCAAGGCCTGCTGCCCTGCACGGCTCCACGCTGCCTCCAGCCCCTGCCCACCTGCCCAGCCCCAGGTGACGATGGCCCAAGTCACCGCCGTGGGGCGTTTTTCTTTCCTTTTTGCTCTGCAAGTGACATTTCACAGTGATGCGCCGGGCACTGGTGGGGTCGGGCTCCTCCCGCCCAGGCCGAGGCAGCAGCCAGGGGTCCCGACTCCGAGGGACACAAGGCCGCCTGCGGTCCCCGCACCTGAGGGAGCTGACCGCTGTCTCCCGACACCCCGAGCGAGCCCAGCCGTGGCCTCGGTCGCCAGCGCCGCATGCACCCTCGTCTGAGGGCTCTCAGCTTCGCCCTTCGTCGGGCAGATCAGCCCCTCGGAGCTCTCGGCGCCCTGAAGATCGAACTCATTACCTACCGAGCAGGGCAGAGGCGTCTCGGCGCCCGGAGGGCCGCGCCCCGCTGCTGACGCCAGGTGGGCCTCGGGGACACGGCGGCAGCCAGGCCGCATCCGCGGGGCCCGGAACAGGAATTGATTTTCGCGTCCTCCCGTCTGGGAGCTAATAGCTTCTGGTGCCTCGAGAGCCTGGTGACTCAGGGAGGAGGAAGTTGCACATTTGGTCACTTCGCCCTGTCACCTGCTGTGTCTTCTGGCCCACGGGCGACCCAGGGCTGTCGCCAGACAGTGGCTCTACTTTGTTCGGCCGGTGTGGCTAATTGGAGCCTTCCTGTGCTGACAGCAGGGCCCCCCCGCCCCCCCGTTGCTCAGGACACGTCCTGGGGCTTTCCGGTCCAGTGTCCTGTCTCCCTGACCTGTGCCCCCAGCTCTGGCGGGGCGCTCCAGACCCCTTGGCCTGAGACAGTGGGAGTGACAGGCACCTGCGCCCGGTCACAGCCTGGGTGGGGCCTTAGCCTCCCATCCACGGCCTGGGGACTTGGTGCTTCCGGGGTGGTGGGCGCTGGGTCCTGCCGGTGGGCATGGGCTGTGTCCCGGCCACGGCCTCTGCCCCTGCCCCTCTGCGGCAGAGTCCCGAGGTGAGTGAGCGCCGGTCAGTGGAGGAATATCTGCGGGCCCACCTGGGGACCGGGCCCCAGAGCCCCTTCGTTAAAGGAGGCTGAGGTGCCAAAAAAGGTGCAAATGAAAAAAATAACGGGCGAAGAGGGGACGCACCCCTCGTTCACTGCAGCGTCAGCGCGGGGGCGGGTGAAGGAGACGTGTTCGCACCCACGCGCCGTGGAACGTGACCCGGCCCGAGAGAGGGTGAACACTCGCCGTGTACGGCAGCGAGGGCGGGCCTGGAGGGACCTGTGCGGAGTGAAATCAGCCAGAGAGACGCGAGCCACCGGGCTTCGCGGATACGCGGAATCGCAAACAGCAAAGCAAACGAACTAAGTAAAACAGTAACTCGTGGATCCAGGGAACAGAGAAAGTCACCAAAGGGGAAAGGCGTGAGGGGCAGGGCGGGGAGGGGCGGGGCCAAGAGCGCGAACTTGGACGGTGAGACAGTCGCCGCGGGAGGGCGTGAGGACGCACAGCGCAGGGGAGAGCGGCCGCGTTCTAACAGCCTCGCGCTGACCGGGGGGCGCTGCTCGCCTTAGGGGGCGCTCACTCCGGAAGGTACGGAAATGTTACATCAGCGTGTGGTTCGCACGAAACCAATGTCTTAATCAGATGTGGACTGTCGTTAGGAACAGACTTATACATAAATCAGTGGTGGCCTTAGACGGCCCCGATGCCCTCTAGGTCTCGGGAAGGGCTCGCCCACCCCCAGAGCCGGTTCTGGAAACGAGGACCAGCCCCGCATGCGCACGGCCAGGACCGGGAGACCACGGCTGCAGCGGGAGCCTCGGGGTGGAGCTCGCGGTGGGCAGCTGAGCCGAGCCGCCTCTGAGCAGGTGCTCACCGGGGACCCCCGAACACGGACCCACCCGCGTGCTCCCTGCAGTGTCCAGGCGCCCGCGAGCCCACGGACGCCGACGCGGAGGAGGAGACCCTGAAGCGGAAGCTGGAGGAGTTGACCGGCAACGTCAGCGACCCCGGGGCCTCCTCCGGGGAGGAGGGCGAGCGCGAAGGGGCGGAGCCGGGCAGGAGCACGGCCTTGGAGCGCCCCCCCAGGACGACCCCGGAGGTACAGCCCCCCCACCAGCGGCCTGGGCGGGAGTGGGGCCCGGCTCAGCGGCCCGCAGCCCAGGGCAGGCGGCTGACCCCTGTCGGTCCCGGAGGGGTCCTTTGGTGGCCGCACAGGCGTCCGGCCCCCAGTTGACCACGCGGCCGCCCCGCTCCAGGAGTGAAGAGAAGGGGTCGTGGGAAAGGGGCCTTTGCCAGGGGCAACCTGCGGCCTCTCCTGCCGGGGGTCACGTTCAGCGCCTCCCTTTCCCAGGTGAGCGCGTCTGCAGGCCAAGCGCAGAGATGGGAAGAGATCCCCCCCGCCCCTCAGGACCCCACCCAGACCGCCAGGACCCCGGACGAGGCGCTGTCGGAGCTGGAAGACAAGGTGGCCCTGACGGCTTCCGAGGTTCAGCAGGCGGAGAGCGAGGTGACCCATGGCCTCGGCGGGCAGGGGGCTCCCCAAGGTAGACAGTGGTGGGCCCCGAAGCTCTGAGGACAGGGAGCGACCCCCAGTGGCTCACACCGGGGAGCCCCTGTCGGCTCCAGACCAGGAGCTGGGGGTCCCTGTGGGAATCACACCGCGCCGCCCCGTGCCCTACCCTGTCCTTGTCCCCTTTGCTGTGCGAGGGACAGGCAGGGCTTGTGGGTGCAGGAGGGAGACGCTGCGTTCACCACGCCCCACCCACGGGGAGGGGCGTGTCTGGAAGCAGGCGTGGAGTTTGGGACCACGTTCTGGCGGGAGGAACACGGGCAGGAGTGTGGGCCCAGAGCCGCGGTTTGGGGGCGGGGGTGCCGGTGGCTTCCCAAGGTCGGAGGGCAGAGCCGGACCTCCCAGGGACAGCCGACAGACCGGGCTCTGCCCGGCCCCCACCACCCCGACCCGGGGGCCCACGGGGAAGAGGGGGTCTGCCCCTCCCGGCATCAGCCCCCACTGCCACCCCCACTTCCCGGCTCGTCTGCGAGCACCCTCGGCCCCCAGAAGGTCAGGGCGGGGCTCCAGGGCTGTGCCCGTTGGGGGCGCCGGCCAGCCCCAGCACATACGCTGAGTCTCTCCGGGTGCCGTGCAAACCACTCCCAACCCCCAGGGTGGCAGCACCAGGGCTGACACAGGAGGGACAGCGGGGACCCCGGAGACCGAGCTGCCCCCCCCTTCACGGCTTCGCCGCAGTGGGCGGGGACAGGCCGCAGCCCGGGAGCAGTGACGCACAGGGAGTGCGGGCCCGGAGTGCGTCCGACCCGGGGTCCGGGGATCAGCAGCGATCCCTCCGGAGGGGCGGGGGGTGGGGATTATCCAGGGGGAGGGGGGCTGTGAGGGCCGTGAGGGCCGCAGGGGAGGGTCTGGGGGCCACTGGAGGGACCCGATAGGGGTGATGGGTCAGCTCCTGTGTCCTGAAGCTTCCTCTGGCTGCTGGGGGAGGGGCGGCCCGTGGGGGTGAGGCCGGGGCGGGCAAGGGTGACTCGAGGGGTCGAAATGGTGCCCGTAAAGCCCCTCCCCTTAGCACCCTGGGGCTCCTCCCCCCGTCACCATCCCCCTCCGTCTCTGCCGGGAGCCAGACGTCCCGACCCTCTCCTGAAGGGCCCAGAGCCCCTGGCTCCCGCCCTGGGGTGCCCGGCCCCACCGCACTCCCCGCGGACATCCGCGCACCTGAAGGGAATGGGCCCCCGGGAAGTGCAGCTGGGCGGGACCCCAGTCTGAAGGGACACACAGCACAATCAGGGAATCGGGGCCGCCGCCCGTCCAGCACCGCGCCTCGGGGATGGGACATGTGGGTGACGTCTGTCTGTCGTCGGCGGTTCCCCCAGGTCTCGGACATCGAGGCCAGGATCGCAGCCCTGCGGGCCTCGGGGCTCACGGTGAGGCCCTGGGGGAAGGCCCGGCGGAGGTCCAAGCTCCCGGTGAGTGGGCACCGCGGGGCCCGCGGGTTGGGGGCCCGGACGCCGGCCGGGAGCACAGGGTCACCCCGGGACGGGACACTGAGTGCCCCGGGCTGCCCCCCCCCCCCCCCCGTGAGCTCGGTGTCCTGACAGCCGTCGGAGACCTGTGCCCCGTGGGAGCTCTCTCCGCCCGTTACTGGTTGTCCCGACCGGAGACAGTGCTTTCTGAGGGTCCCCCAGCTCCCGCGTGAGGGTTCCAAACACACCTGCCCGCACACACAGTTGGAAGTGCAAAGGCCGCGGCTTGGGCGACAGCACCGCGCGCTGACACGGGGGTGGCTGGGACAGGTGGGGGCCGGGGCCCCACCGCACCCTCCCTCCCGAGGCCCGCGGGGAGCGTGCAGCTGGATCGGCCGGTGAGGGGATCCGGCTGAGAATGAGCCGGTGCCCCCCGGGGGAGTCTCAGACGGGGTGCCCGGTGGGACCTCGCCGGAGGTCACGGAGACAGCTGGTCCTGTCCCGGTGGGAGTGCGTCCGGGCAGAACCGGGGACCCACGCTGCGCGAGGGTGCACTGTCTGGCTGGAGCCCACGCCCTGCTGGGTGTCCTGTGCTCTGACCCGCTGGGCTGGCCGCCTCGGCCCTGAGCTCTGGGCGGCGTGAGGGGCAGGGCCGCGGCGCCTTCCCCACACCCCTGCGTGGGCGTCCAGAGAGCGCGTCCACCCTGCCCCCGGCAGGCGGCCCTCGGGCTGGAGGTCCTGCAGCGGCTGCTCCCTTGTCCTCCAGGTCCTGCTCCCCCGACCAGCGAGGACCCCGGGCCCGAGCCCCGAGCACCCGCCTGCAGGCCCTGCGGACCAGGTCAAGGTGTGTGGGTCCCCCTGACCTCTAACAGCCAGACAACCAGTGACAGTCCAGGGGCGTGACAGGCCCCCGGGGGGCGGGAGACCGGTCGGTGGCCTCGGAGACGCACGGAGCCGAGGGTGGGCGTGCGTGGGGCCTTCGTAGCCCACCCGAAGCCCCCCAGAACCTAGCGTCTCCCCCGTCCTGGCGCCTGGTGCTCAGCTGATGGGTAACGCGCATTCTCACACTGAGACAAGCTCCAGTGTTGCCCAGGAGCAGCCGGCAGTCCCCCCGATTCTTTGGAATCTGGAGGAACGATGAGTCCAAAATGGGCTCCCGGCATTTCTCAGAATCACCATGGAGAGACGTCTTCTTCCTTCCAGGTCTCGGCTGCGCCCTGCCTCCTGGGGAGGGGGTTCAGTAACGCCCCTGGGGGTCAAGGTAAGAGTCACCCGCCCCCCTCACCCCGTGGGCGTGGAAGGGGGGGCTCTGCGTGTCCGTGCAGCCAGTGGGTCCCAGCAGCTGGCGCCCGTGCCCCTGAGCGCACCCTCACGGTGACTGGTGACCCCTTCTCGGGTCAGGGTCCCAAGACCCCGCGGGCCCGCGGTCAGGTCACGGCAGTAAAGGAAATCGGTGGGCGTCCCCCCACACTAGTGCCGGGACGCCCCTACGGCTTTGGGGCCCCGGGGGGCGGGGCTTCGGGCCTGCTCCAACGCCAAGGAGAAGGGGGGGACCACGCTGCTCCTCGGCACAGCCGCTGACGCGCGAGGACGTGGTCGGAACTGCCTGGAGCTCGGGCGGCTTGGCGGAAGGTTACACGGCCGTGTGGCCGCCTCCTGGCTCGTGTCTCGGGAGGCGGAGACTCTCGTTTGGGGAGAGGGTGGGACCAGTAAGCACCCCCACCCCCCACCCCGCGTTCTCCCCGAAGGCGAGGACGGCGGGGAGCCCTTCGATCGGAAGTCGGCGTACCGCGGGTCCCTGACGCAGAGGAGCCCGGACGGCCGGAGGGGCGCCGCCCCCCGCAGCTTTGCGGTAGGTGCCCCCGCTGCCCACGCTGTCTGCCGCGCTCTGCGGCCGGCCGGGTCGCCCGTGGACAGACGGCAAGTCGTCCGAGTGGGGAAAACTGGGGCAGAGCGACATGTCAAGGGAAACGCGGAAGATGTAAAGAAAAGTGGGAAACATCTCCCAAAGGTGCCAGATAAGTCAGTGGGTCTCAGCTCGGGGACGGGGACCGTCCGTGCGACAGTGAGGGCCCTGTCCCCACCCCCCCCACCCCCCGCCAGCCCAGTGTCGTAAAGGCCGTCCAGCCAACGGCGCCTGCAGATGCTGGGGCCGGGGCTGTCCCCCCCTGCCCGGGAAGCGGCAGGCTCTGCCCTCGGTTCCGCAGAAGTGCGGCCCGCGGGCCCTTCCCTGACACCGAAGTCCCCGCGTTCCCAGCAGCACGGGAGCCTCCCTCGTCACCCAGGGAACCGCCCGCCTAAGGCAACCCCAGCCCCTCTCTTAAGCAGCTGACCTCTGGGGCCCTGAGGTCACGCTCGCATCCTGGGGGCGTCATGATGATTCAGACCAAGGTCCAGGGTCAAGGCCCGAATGCCCTGGAGCCCAGAGCGCCCACGCCCACGTCCCACCAGCACCTGGCCGGCCGGCCGCACCTGCCCCGGGGAGTGGGGCCTCCAGCAGCCCCACGCATCTGAGCACAGACAGGCTGCCTGGAGGTGGAGCTGGCGCCTCCCGCTCCCCATGGAACTGCTTGTGAAGGGCCATCAAAGGGTCTCGTCACAGAGACACGCAAAAGCACGGCCACGACCATGATTGGCTGTGGCATGCCTTGTCTTGGCGACAGGGAGGCAGGGCGTGCGTCCTCAACCCTGCCACCATTAGTCCACCCCACACGAGGGGACACGCATTCGGGGAAATGACCAAGAGCAGGGACTCCCTGCACGGCCCAGCTTCGCCAGGAAAGAGGGCACCTGGACGGTGGCCTCAGCATGGCCATCCCCGCAGAGGCCGGAGGACAATGAATAAGAAATTGTCAGTGAGGCCTTGAGGGAAGAAATGCTTCCAAGTGAGACCGTGTCTCCCACGTGTCAGAGCTTTGAAGGGCCAGACAGATACTTTGTATCCGCTCAGCCAGATACTTTGTATCCATTTACCTGGATACATTGTATCCATTTACCCGGGTACTTTGTATCCATTTACCCAGATACTTTGTATCCGTTCACCCCCTTTGATGGGGGCTGGCACGGCACCGGACCCACAGCCCGGAGGCAGGGCCCGGAGAGGGAGGGGTTGATGGAGCCCCCGCAGGCTGACTCACGCCTTCTGACCACCCGTCTGTGTGCATCGCTGCGTGCACTCCTGTGTGTGTGCTCACGTTCACACCCGTGTGTCTGTGCACACGCTCTTGTGTTTCTACGTGCACGCTCAGACGTCTAAGTTCCTGTCTACCTCTGTGTGCAGCTGTGCATGTGTGCATCTGTGTGCCGCGTGTGTCTGCGTGCACACCTATGCATGCACACTCACTGTGTGTGTGTTCGTGCTTCGCAGAAACCCGTGATGATCCATCAGCCCTGAGGGGCAGAGGGTCACCGGGACAGGACGGAGCAGCCGAAGACCCCGCCTTGCTCTCCGCCCCCCGGAAACTCGGACCCTCCAGAAATGCAGAGGCTCTGTCCCTCCTCCAGGACGCTGTCCTTCAGACTCTTTGAAGGTCACTCGGAAGACCCATTCGCTCTGACCTTTCACCCTCCCACCGCGGCCTTTCTTGTGTTGCTTTCCTGAGTGGGGCGCGAAGGGACGACAGTGGGCACCAGCCCCTGGGTCCGGACGGGGCGTCGGAGCGTGGGCCCGGGGTTCTGGGGAGGGTGGGCGGGGCGGGGCGTCGGGCGTCCGCCCCGACGAGTGACTGAACTCACGATCCTGGAGAAACGAGAGGGGGGCAGAGCCCCGCCCCTCCCCACACACCCCGATTCCACTTTTTTCTTCTGTTTCTCTGCACGCGTGAGATCCTTTCCAAATGTACACAAACCGCTTTTGTCATAAAAATCAACACATTTGTTTCTGATGGTAACAAGCGTGTCTATTTCAAACGTGAATGAGGAAGACAGATCGGAAGTCACGGACAGGACGGGCCCCACGGGGGCGACGGGCCGGCCTGAGGCGGGTCACGGGCGGGGGAGGGGGCGTCCCGCCGGGCGTGGGCGGCTTCTCCCTCCGCCCGGTGTACGGGAGCGCGGGGGAGCCGCCGCACCGTCACCCTCCTGCGTCGGCGGCAGCGGCCTGCGCCCCTCGGGCGCCCGACTCGCCGTCTGCCCAAGGCCGGCGTGAGGGAGGAAGGCTAATGTGTTTTAAAACCGCTCGGCCCAAATGCAATTACACGGCCCAGGAAGGGGCAGGTCACGCCGCTAATGAGAGTCTCACAAAAAAATGGGAGAAAACAGACACTCTGACGCCACCTGCGAGGGAGGCGGGGACAGGGCGGGGGCGTGGGGGGCGTCTGGGGGGGTCGGCGGCTGCTTCCTCCCGGGGCTATAAGAGAGCTGAGCTGGCTACTGGCAGAGTCACCGCCGGGGACACCAGCAGCGCCACCGTCATGCGGGACCGTGGTGAGTAGCACAGGAGGCCCGTGGGTCTGCCCTCCGTCTCCGGATCGCCCCGTCCGGCCAGGGCTCCCCACAGGGACCCCAGGGGGCCTTCCAGCAGCAGTGAGGGCCTGGCAGGGACAGGCAGGGACAGACGGGGACAGCCACCCCACGGTTCTGTGTCTGAGGGCCGCCCCTGCCGGCCCAGGGCACCCAGCGCTCAAGCCCTGTGGAAGGCGGAGACAGAAGGTGAGGCCACCAGCGCCACCCAGTGAGCACGCAGGCGGGGTCCCGCTGCACTGACAGCAAACCCTTCCCCACCCGGGGGGAAGCAAGCCCGCGGGGACCGAGCAGGAGCCGGGCGCCCTCCACCAGTGGGGTGCTGCCCTCGGGGCGGGGGTGGGGGCGAACACCCTGCCCTGTGCCCACACCTCTTCACACTCGGCTCCCGGTACTGCCCCTGTCATCGGAGCTGGGGTCCCCTACCCACCGTGTGACACCCCACTAGCTCTCCACATGGGAAAGGGTGGGCATTTAAAATCGTCAGACAGACAGCACCTTCCTTGTGGCTCAGGGACAGGCTGGAAAGTCAAGGTCGACAGAGGGGTCAGCCTTGAGGCACGCGGGCTGGGGACGCCGGCTGGAGGGGCCGCCTGGTCTGCTGGGTGGATGCGTCCAGCTGGTCACTGCCTCCCCCGCAGCACCCTCCCCTCCCCCGCCTGCAGGGGGCGTCCTGCTCCATGGCAGCAGGTCCTGCCTGCTGCAGGCTCCTCTCGGACTCTGCGGACTGGCCCTGGGGTCGTGGGAGGGGGCGTGCACTTGGTGAGGTCAGAGGACGCCGACCTCCTGCAGCGCCCGGGTCCACTCACGTCCTCCCTCAGGCAGGGGTGAGGGAGAGAACCCTGAGCCTGGTCCGTGCCCAGCCCCGCAGCCCCCCCCAGCTCCCTGGCCTTCCAGTTCCCCGTGGTTGACTCGGGTTGCCCAAGTGCCCCCTCCCCAGCTGCAGCTCCCCACAGACCCGCTGGCCTCTGCCCCCCTGCCCTGGGCCAGGCGCTCTGCACACAGCCCTGCAGGGGCCTCCCACCCTCCTGGTCCCCTCGTGCAGACGGTCGGACGGACGGACCGAGCCATCCAGGACTGCCCACCTCCCTGCGTCCAGAGCTCAGACACCGCCCGCTCCCTCTGAGGACAGAGCCCGGCAGAGGCTGACACTCGCGGTCACCTCCCCGAGTGCTGTCTGCGCAGAGGTCAGAGCAGGCCCCGGGGGGACTCTGCCAGGGCAGCCCACCGCCTCTGTGCTCACCCGCCCTGGATGGAGCCGGTAATGTGCACACTCACACGCACATGCAAACACAAGCACATGCCTGACCACAACCCTCGCATGTGTGCATGCACACACACTAACATGCACACACTCTCACACACACACACACACACACACACACACACACAGCGCTTACAGTATCTAGGGTCCCAGCTCTGTGCCCCCGAGAGTGTAACGTGGCTCCTGCCCCTCTGCCCCAGGCTGTGCCCTTCCGTGTGGGACCCCACCGCCAGCCGGCCCCCGGCGAGGACACAGGGGGGCAGAGCTGCTGCAGGCCTGGCTCCTGTGCCTGCTGCTGCTGGGCCTGGCCCTGCAGGGGGCCGCCAGCCGAGCCCACCAGCACTCCATGGAGACCCGCAGTGAGTGCCCGGCCCGGCCGGCCTCCCTGACCCGCCCCTCCCAGACCCGCCACGCCTCCTCACCTTGGGCACGGCCCTCACTAAGTACCCCAGCTCTGGGGGGTGGGGGGTGCCCGCTCTTCACCAGTCCTCAGCCCACAGGGCCCTGCCGCCTGCCTCCCAGCGTCCCCGCCCAGCAGAGGTTTGTGGGGTTCTCCTCCCACCACCGGGCGGCCTTGGGGCCGAGCAGGCTCCGCCCAGCCCCGGCACAGGAATGGGCGGGCAGGACGGGGGGCTTGGTCCTTGATCCTGGTGTGAGTTTGAATTGCTGTTTGCAGAAGTTACCCCACCACCCGAATTGGCCCTCTGGGTGCCCCTGCTTTGCAGGGTCCCAGCCCGGCCTGGGGGACTGGGCGGCGGGGAGCTCAGGGCCCTGTGGGCAGTGCTGCGTGTGTGGGCCTGGACTCCGGCCAGGCGGGAGCCCACGACACCACACGCAGGACCCGGGCACTTGGGGGGATGCGGGCAGGACCCCGGGCACACAGGGGGTGCGGGCGGGAACCTGGGCACTCGGGGGGACGTGGCACAACTGCTCTGCACCCTCCTTCCAGCCCCGGACATCGACCCCGCCTGGTACACGGGCCGCAGAATCAGGCCCGTGGGCCGCTTCGGCCGGAGGACTGTGGCCCTGAGGACCGTCCCGAGGCTGGGCCTGTGGCACCATCAGGCAGCTTCCCCCTGGAAGGAGTCTCGGATCCCCCCCAGGGTGGCTGACAGCCGAGCGCAGCAGGAGTGACCCAGCAGCTTCCCCCCACCCCCCACCAGGGCTGCCTTCCCGCCAACCTAATAAAATACGCCTCATGTACACGCGTCTGTGTGGTGACACGGCGGGGACCCTCAGAGTCCAGCAGTCCGGAGGGTGCTCAGCAGGGGACAGAGGACCCGGGTCGTCTTGTTCACCTGCAGCCAGCCTGCCGCCACCTGTCAGATGGGGCAGTGGCAAGGCCACCAATGGAGACCTGCACCCCCCCCCCACCCAGGTTAATCGGAGGTGCCCGCTCTGCCTCTGGCCCGCCAGCAGGTGGCAGCACTCAGCACCTCTGAGCTCAGGCAGGCCCCGGGCTCACAGACCGGCCCCCCGGGGTGCCGTCCTGGACCCGGAGATCCTTGTATCCCGGTGAAGACTCCAGAGTGGGAGCAGGGGGCTGCTGGTCTTAATCAGGCGAGTGTAGATCGCCCCCTAGTGGCCAGGGGAAGCTTGGGCTCGCGCAGCCTCCAGGGTGGGTCCCACCCTCCCACACCCTGACCCCACCCCGACCCCACCCACCCCCACCCCGGTTGGTGCCACAGGGCAGCCGAGGGAGCGAAGGCAGGAAACAGTGTCCATCCACATCCGCTGCGGCCAGAGACCGCAGCACAGCGGGCAGTGAGCTCTCATGTTTCAGCTCCGCGACGGTCTAAGAAAGACGGGGGCGAAACCCCGGGCCCGGCCCTCTGGGAAGCCATTCTAGTCCTTGACCTGTCCCTCCGCTTCCCTCCGAGGTCACGGCCAGAGAGAGCCTTGGGAAACCCACTCCGCTTCCTTCCGTCCGGAGGGGTCACAGGTCACACGAGAAGTGTCTTGGAGAGCAAGCGCCGCGGCAGGCTGACCCAGGGGACACCCGGGCGGTCCCCTCCCCCCAGAACAGACGCCGCCCCCACCGGGACCCCACCCCCTCCCACCAGGGCAGCACCGCCCAGGCGCAGGGGTGGGGGGGGGCTGCAGGGAGGGCTCAGGGCACTGGTCTGCGGGATGCGGGAGGGAGGCCCCGTGGGAGGGGCCGTGACCTTGGCGGGGACGCCCCCCAGGATGACGCAGCCTCACAGAGACCAGCCCACCTCAAATATGTTTGCGATGAGAGCCCCCCCTCCCACATGACGAACTCGCCACAGACCAGGTTCTAGAAAGCGGTTTAATTTTCGGAGAAAAGCCCCTCAGGGGCGCAGTGTCCACCTTGGACGAGCAGGCGCATCCTCACGTGAGCTCAGGGGACACCCGCGGGGCCTCGGCAAACTCGCAGCTGGGACAGAGCCCCCCGCCCGCAGCCCCCACCGGCCCCGCCCCTCCCTCCTGGGGGAGCTTCTCTGAGGCCCAGAGAACAGGGGCCCACCGCTGTGCGGGTCACTCCACCAACCCGGGGCGCGGCCACCTTGCCCCGGGCCTGCTCCGTCCTGTGGTCACTCCCAGCAGCAGGCGGGGTCGAGCCCAGCCCCCGGGGTCAGAGGACCGAGCACCCACCACGGCGGTCCAGGCCCTGTGTCGCCCCGGCCCCTGTTTCCCTTGTGACCGTTCCGTTCCTCTGAGCCCGGAGCCCCCGCCAAGGGGACGCCAGGCAGGCCGGGCAGGGGCGGGCGCGCCTGGCCTGGGCACCTGGGGTTCGGTCTGCGCCCGGGGGCGGGCCCTGAGGCCATCGGACGCAGTCCCCTCCCAAATGACCCCCAAGGCTCTGGGGAGCACTTGTGCTGGGGGGTGCCGGCTTCGGGCCCCTCCAGGGGGACCAGCCAGCCCCAGCGCCGCACCAGGGTCAAGGGCCGCCGTCCACACGGAGCTGGCAGCGGCTCACCCGGAGGACCAGCTGGGGCCAGGCCGGGGGCACCCTCCCCGGGCCCCTCCTGGAGCGGCCGCTCCTAGCGGGCGCAGCACCTGGCCCGCCCCGCGGGCCCCTGGTTCAAGGCCAGCCGGGCGTCTCCCCTCGGGGTCTGCTGCTGCTCCCTCTCCTCTGCCCTCCGCAGCAGCTCCCGGGCTGGGGGCACAGAAGGAGAGGGTGGTGGGGGGACAGTCCCCCAGCAGGGCGCCGCCCACCCACCCCGGCAGTCCAGGGCCCCCACCCTCCCCTGCTCGTGCCCTGACTCTCCCGCTCTCCGTCCAGCCCCTGGTGACCTCCTGCTGGCTCGGGGCGCAGAGCAGGCCAGCCGACGCAGAGGCAGGGAGGACCCCCCCTGCCCACCCCACCCCCCCGGGCTCTCCGGGGCCTGCACTCACCAACCGCGCTGAAGGCCTCAGTCACCTGGTGGTTGGCTCTGGCCGAGGTCTCCATGAACAGCAAGCGCTGGCTCTCGGCAAACTCCTTGCCTTCCTGTGGGAGACGGCACGGAAGCCCCACGGCACTTACAAGGAGTTCCCCGAGGACACGCGGCAAATAAATGCCTTTCCTCTGCCGGTCCTCAGCGGCCGAGTGCGGCTGGGTCGCCGCTTCTGTTTGGGGCTTGGTTTGGTCTCGTTCCCAGCTCGCTGCAGACCGAGCGGGCCGCTGCCTCCCAACGGCGAGGCCCGAACGGCGGGTGCAGCCCCTGGGAACCGACGCGTCCGTCCCCTCTTCGTGGCCGAGCGCTGCTTCTCGGGGACCCGGGCCGGGGGCGGCGGGGGCCGGGGAGCCAAGTCTGGGGAGGCCACCTTCCCCGGCACCTGCGCGGCCCTTCCTCTGGGTCCCCCTGTGTCTCCCACACGGACCCGGCCTGTGTGAAGCAGGGAGGTCCCAGGGCCCAGGGGACAGCAGCAGGGCTGCAGAGTGCACCCCGAGGGACAGGCACCCAGGAAGGTGGTGGCCGGCCCACGACTGGTGTTGGGACAGGGGGCTGATGGGTGAAGGCCCCGCCCCTGGGTTTCCCTGACTCTGAGGACGAGGAGGGCTGCTCGGGCTCCAGGGTGCTGCCTCCACAGGGTCTGGGTTGCAGGCCCCCCCCCATCACATCAGCCAGGGCAGGCCGCATCCCCAGAGCTGGACTACAATGCTAGGGCTCCCCCCGCCTGTGTCCCGGGCCTGACCCCTCCTCACCTGACTGCCTGACTCTCCAAGGAGGACAAGGGGTGCCCTTTCGACATTGGTCCCCACCCCCAGGGACACACACCCTCCGGGGGCTCACTGCAGCCCCAGAACAGCCCCCCATTCTCACCGCAGCACGTGGGGCCTCGGCCTCCGAGCCCCAAGGCCTCCCGCACCACCGCCCACTCCCCAGGGCTCCTGGCTCCCCCCCTCCGGCAGCCCGACAGCCCAGCAGCCCAGCCCCCTCCTGCCCCCTCGCGGGTCCCTCTCCTGCACTTCCTCTCTGTTCCTCCCAACGCCTCTCCCGGGATCCGCACACACAGTCACCTGCCCTGCGTGCACCAACACACGCCCCCACAGACACACCGTGTGCACACACACAGCACACACAGACAGCCGCACACACAATGCACACACACACAGCACACACACACAGTCGCACACGCCGTGCCCCCCCCCCCAGTCCTACCTCCAGCGCCACCTCCCGCTCCTCGCCCAGGTCCGTCTTGTTGCCCACCAGCATCACCACGACCTCCCCCGGGGAGAACTCCTTCTCCAGGTCGGCCAGCCACTGCTGAGCCTTGAGGAAGGACTCCTGGAACGGGAAACACGGGAACGCAGGGCAAGACGTGTGGGCGGTTTCGCCGCTGTCCCGGGAGAGAGAAGGCCGCACTGTGAAGGATTCTCAGCGACCCCACTGACGCCATGACTGCTCCCACCCCCGGCTGCCCCGTCCCTGCAGGAGGACACTTCTCTTCTCCCACCTCGCTTGCCCCTTCCCTCCTGGCGGCAAAGCTGACCGAGTCTGCCCGCTTCCGGCAGCTCCCTCCGCAGCTGCTCCCCTGCCCCCGGCAGCAGGGTGGGCCCCTGCTTCTCCCCCCCACACACACACACAGCTCTGCAGGAGCCCTCCAGGAGGAAGCCCTCCCACACTGGGCCAGGGCTGGTTCAGCGGCTGTCCTGTCCGCCCTTCCCCCCTCCGGCCCCGGGACACTCTCTGTATAGGGTGTGCAGCCAGGGGCTGTGTCCCTCCTGCTTCTGTGACACGCCCTCGTCAACCTGTGGGCACTCCAGAAGTCCGGAGAGACAATGACAGAGGTGCGGGGTGTTCCAGGAGGACCACCAAGGGGCACAAACCCAGCCACACAGAGAAGGGGTGGTCAGGGAGGGCTTCCTGCAGGAGGCGACCCGCTTCCGTGGGCACGCCCCTGCTGGCTGTCGTGATGCTGCCACAAAGCACTAGGACGGGCCGGTCCCACCCACGGTGCCCTGGAGAGCGCAGGCAGGCGCCTCCAGAAGGGGGCGGCGCGAGCCGACCGCAGCCTTACCTTGCTGGTGATGTCGTACACCAGGAGCGCGGCGTTGGCGCCCCGGAAGTAGAGGTGGCAGACGCTGTGGTACTTCTCCTGGCCGGCCGTGTCCCAGATCTCCAGCTTCGCGGACGCAGCGCCCAGCTCCACCACCTTGGTGAAGAACGCACCTGGAACACGGAGACCCGGGGGTGGCTCGCCCTTCCCCCGCGCCCGGGCTGGGCTGGGCCGCCCCGCCCCCTGGTCCCAGCACCCCGGCAGAGGCACGTGCTTCCCGCCGCCCACAGCCGGGGAGGCCGAGCAACACGTGTCCTGGAAGGTGGCGGCTTCCGTCAAAAGCCAAATGTCGCGAGAGATGTGCGGTGGACCCCCTGTCAGGTACGCAGAGGCTTTGAGCGGGAAGAGAAACCCTCGGGGCCCTAGCTCAAAACTCTGGGCTTTGCTTGCCGAAGCGGCGTCGTTTTCAAACGGCCGTGTGCTAAGGCCAAGGCGCTCTGCCCTCGCCGAGTGCGGGGTGCGTGGTAGTCAGAACCAGTGGGGAGGCGGAGAGGGGATCCCAGAGGGGCTGGGGGCGGGGCCAGCGGAGTAGGGCTGGGGGCGGAGCCAGCGGAGGGCCTGGGGGCGGAGCCAGCAGAGTAGGCCTGCCAAGGCGGGGGAGGGCTCCTGGCAAAGCTGCTGCCCCTTCCACCAGCCCCCGCCCCGCGTGGAGTGTGGAGCCTGTTGGGAAAGCCTGGCAACCGCAGCCGTGTGCGTGGAACGGGACTGGCTCTGTGAGGCCAGTAGGCCAGCAGGCCAGCGCCCTGGGGCGGCGGTAACACAAGACCCCCAACTGCCTGGCTTAAAACAGAAATGCACGCTTCCCACACGGGCCTATCGTCTGGGACTCGTTGTGGCTCCCGCTGGCTAGTGCGCACACGACCACTAGGTGTCACTATCCCCCCAAAAGATGTCCCTACAAAGGTGCAACAGCGAATGGGCGGAGCTCCCCTGCTGTGGCCAGAGGGTTCCAGCAGTGGGCAGCCGCTTGCCCCCCCTGCCAGCCCCTCCTGCAGGGGCCCGAAGCCTTCGTGGTCCCTGGGGGTGGCCAGGAGTCTCCCGCCAGCAGGCTGAGCTCCCCGGGGGGCTGTGCTCACTTGGGGGTCCCACTCTGACTCTGACTCAGCTCCCTGTCTATCTGTTGCTGCAATTCCAGCTCCCCCTCCACTTCCTCTGCATGGGCGGGGCCTTGCCCTGGGGTGGCTGGCGCACCGCGCAGCCCGGGACCTGCTGGGCAGAGCCAAGCCCTGTGCTCCGGCGCCCTCTACTGTGGAGCCACCCCACACACTCACCCTCAGGTCCAGACCCTCCCGAGGGGGGCCAGGGACCCCCGATCTTCCCAAAAGTTGGGGCGTCCTGGAGCTGCCTTCCCGGAAGCTGGCACCAGCAGGGACCTGCCAGGCCTGGTCACACCCTGCTCTCGGGAGTGTGGGGTGGGCGTCTGAGGAAAGGGGGCAGCACCCAAGGGTGACGACCTTACATCCAGACGCAGCAATCCACGACTGAAGACCTCCTAAGTCAGGGTTCACAGGGGGCCCGCCGCAGGGGACTCTACCATCCCGTGTCCCCGGTGGGAACATGGAGACATTTGGTCATCAGCTCACGTTTACTGAGCGCCCCGCAACAGGGCCCTCGGCCCCCCGCCTGCGCGCCCCCGGCTGCCCCTCTGGGAAGCCAGCACCCTGTCACCCCGGGGCTCTGCTCCTCCGCTCGCCCCTCCCCCGCATACAGACACGAGGTTCTGTTTGCGGAGCCAAGGCCACGCCTGAGGAAGAAGCCCAGTGCCCGCCCGCCCGCCCTCGGTGGGGGTTTGTGAGCACGGCAGCTTCCACAGACGCTGAGGGTGGACGACGGTCCAGTTCCTCTCCCAAAAATGGCAACGCCCACGTCTAACCAGGGCAATAGCGTGACAGCTAGAATCATATAGAAGACAGGGTGATACCGTGCTAACCAATGTAGAGTGATGGAGAGTGCAATTCATTTCCTCGCTAATAAGGAGATCATCACAGTGTCCCCCCTCCCCAAAGGCTGCCTGGCCCCGGTGGGGGGCTTAGCTGCTGGAAGCAAAGGATGGCTTCCCCGGCTCGACGCCCCCAGCCCCGGGTGCAGCCGCCGCCACAAAGAGGGTGCTCAGTGCGTCAATGCTGGCGCCGGGGGCTGGGGCCTCATCGAACCAAGGAGGACCGCTGAACTCGGCCGTGTCCCAGGTGCCCCCCGACCCTGGGCAGCACCCTGGCGTCTCCCCTGGGGGACGGACACAGGGCGGCCGGTCTGTCACTCACAGCCGACGGTCGGCAGGATGCTCCTGAAGTCGTCCTTCACGTAGCGCATGGCCAGGCTGGACTTGCCCACGGAGCCGCTCCCCAGCAGCACCAGCTTGAACACGTGGGGTGGCCCGGCCCCCGGCCGCAGGGCCCCGGCCGCCTGCGCCATGCCCTGCGGAGACACACAGCGGCTGCAGGCGGCCCGGCGGCCGCCACTGGACAGCCGTAGCTGGTTCAACCTGCAGCAATGCCCCCTGGCAGAGGGATGGACAGACAGATGGACAGACAGGACAGACGGGCAGCACTCCACGTCGGAGGCCGGGGGGCGGCACCCCTGCTCTGGTCTGAGCCCCACGTCCCCACCAGGACGGCGGGGCCCGGAGCTGTGTTTGAGGGGTGCCGTGCAGCTGTGCGTGGAAGGCGTGTCACTGGTGCCGGAAGAGACGGTTGCACAGCCGATGGCCCAGCCCTGAGCCGCGACCACGACGGGCCGGCCGCCCTGCGGGCTGACTGTCCCCGTCCCTCTAACCCTCCCTTTCCAAAACCGACTACTTCTTCCCGAGAGTGTCGCAAACACCTGGGAGGGAAAGTGCTCCTGCTGTTTGGGATTCGTGGATTAAAGTTTGCCTCTCAAAGGGCAACCTACCGCCCTGGCTGGTGTGGCTCAGTGGATTGCGTGCTGGTTTGTAAACCCAAGGGTCACTGGTTCGATCCCCAGTCAGGGCACATGCCTGGGTTGCAGGCCAGGTCCCCAGTAGGGGGCGTGCGAGAGCCAACCACACACTGACCCTTCTCTCCCTCATTTTCTCCCCCCCTTCCCCTCTCTCTAGAAAACAAATAAACAGAAATCTTAAAAAAAAAAAAAAACCTACCTAGAAAGCCTGGTGTTTCAAAAATCTGACTAAAACCGAAGTTGGTGTTCCAAGGAAGGGAGGGAGGGAGACTCAGGGAGAGGAGAATGACCCGTCACGACATCGCCGTTCTGAAGCACCTGCCTGAGTGGGGGGCCGTGTCGGGGGCCTGAGGCAGCGGAGGGGTGACCCGGGACGGAGCGGGGCCTCAGCGGGGCATTTGCAGGGAGCAGGCTCTGTGGGAACGACCTGGCCCAGGCCCCGTGGGGGTGTGGGGGCGCCACCCCGGACTCCTACATGTCCCAGACCGCCGCCAGCCAGGGAGGGGCCCGGCGGGGCCAGTCTGCTCCCCGAGAACCCGCCCCCCGTGCAGGGTAGGACCTCGGAGCAATTCATCCCACGGGTCTCCGACCCGCTGGCGGAAAGCCGGGCTCAGGGGCAGAGGAAGGGGAGTAACCCGCGGGAGCCCGTGCGAAAGCCCCTGGAGGGGCAGCCGGCCGGCCGTCCGGGAGTAAAATTCACAGCCCGGTGGCCCGCCGGGTCCGGAACTGCGAGAGAGGCCCCGCCGGAGAAGGGAACTCGGAGTCGCCTCCCAGTCCCGGGCGGCCGGAGACTGGGTGCCAGCCCCACCGTCCGAGAAGCTGGGGACCGGCCCGGGAGAGGGTGGCTCGGCCGGCTCCTTGCCCTCGGTCCCAGCTGATGCAAACGCCCCTCGGGCCGCGGCCCATCCCTCCTGGCTCCAGCTGCCATCCTCGCCCCTCCCCGAGCAGGTGTCCAGCCCCATCAGTAGCCGTCAGTCAAGCAGCCACGGGCCGGCAGTGCCCGTCCCCTTCTCCAAGAACCGGTCTCGTTCCACCTCCACCGTCGCTCGCTGGACCATTTGTAAATGGTCCGTCTCCCCCTCCCGCTGTGGCCTCAGCCACGTCACCGTCGTCACGAACTCCGTACGTGACGCATCGCCGAGTGCCCTCAAAACAGCCAGGCGTCCCGTTTTGCCTGCTTCCTTCGAGGTTTGTTTTTTTAATGAAACTTAAAAACGAACAAACCCAAACCCGCAGGTTTACCGTGCACATTCGTGTCCTGCCTTTGACGCAATAACCCGTATCAACGTTGCTGCGTAGGATCTACCGGCTTCACCCCTGCGTGACATTCCCACCGCCGCCCCGGCTGGCTGCCCCGCTACCCTCCGACCGCGTCTGGGCTGGCGTTAGCGTTTTTCTCTGCACTAAATCGGACCCACTACGCACCGTCCTGCACCCTTTTCTGTGCGGTTGCAGGGGCGAGCGCTCCGTGATGAGAGGCGGGAGCCCTCTGCTCAGGGAGGAAGCTGGCGCCGTGAGGCCTGCCCCCGCCTGCAGGTGTCACCAGGAGGGTCTTGGGGTCTTCCCGCTGCAGGGAGGGCCTCCCGGCACCTGGAGAGGGCCTTGCGCCTCCTGCAAGCCCGTCCCCGGTCCCCGGAAGGGAAGGTAGGACTGCAACCCTAACCAGTCTTTCTGGGGGGGTCACTGCAGGAGTTCTGGTTTGCTGGTCTCTGGTCAGGCGTCCCTTGTGGGGGTGGCCCTTCCCAGCACGTAAGGAACCCGGGGTTCCCGTGAGCACCTGGGGCCCCCTCCCACAGCCCTTCACTGTGAGGCCTGTCTCAGAACTTTAAGCAGGACCCTGCCCCCACCCCAGTCCAAACACCGCGAGGTGGACCCCCACAGAACGGGCTTCCTCCCTCGCGTGCCCTCGGCGGTTCGCAGGTGGGAGCACGCACAGGCTCGGGTGGACATGCATACACACAGAGACACACAGACACACACAGACACACACAGACACACAGACACAGTGACACACACAGACACACAGACATACAGAGATACACACACAGAGACACAGAGACAGACACACAGAGAGACACACAGACACACAGAGACACAGAGACAGAGACACACAGACATACACACAGAGACACAGAGACAGACACACAGAGACACACACAGACACACAGAGACACAGAGACAGACAGACACACAGACACACAGAGACACAGAGACAGACAGACACACGCAGATGCACACACAGAGACAGAGACACACAGACATACAGAGATATACACACAGACACACAGAGACAGACACACAGAGACACACAGAGACACAGAGACACACACACAGAGACACACAGACACACAGAGACACAGAGACAGACAGACACACGCAGACGCACACTCTGCCCAGCGCGCAGCCGTTGAACCGACAGCTCACAGACCCCCAGGCCCGGTCACTCCCAGGAAGCCTGGCAGCCCCTCGCCCCCAGGCCCTGCGGGGCCCCTACCTGAGTCTCTCTGTCTGGGGGCGGGGGCGGCTTCCCGAACCGGGCAGCTGGGCGGCAGCGGGGGCAGCCGGGGAGGGGGGGTAGGCAGGGCTCCGCAGCCCCGGGGGACCCAGCAGTCTCTGCCCGAGGCAGTGCCCGGCCCCTGACCCGGCCCAGCCCCACGTCAGGCCACTTCCTCCTGCTGGGCTCCCGGGGCAAGGTCCTCTGGTCATGTGGTCACCTGGGACAGGGGCAGGGCGGGAGGCTGGACCTTAGAGCCGGCGCCAGGAGCACCTGGGCGCCAGCCGGAAGTGAGGCTCCTGTCCGGTGTTTGCTGCCGCCTGGCACGCGGAGCTCCTGGGCCCGGCAGGGGCCTCGGATCAGCAGCCACTCCCCTGCGCCCCCCCCTCCGGGCTGCTGGCAGCCCAGAAGGGGAGGGGCGTCTCGGGCAGGTGAGCACAGCCCTTCCACGGACGGCTGTGAGCCAGCTCCTGGGGCCCGCTGCAGGGACGAGGTGGGCTGGGCCGGGGCCACCTGGGGACAGGACCCTGTAGCTCCATCTGCCTGCTTGGTGACCCCCCAGCCCGACTGTGCTCCTCTGTGGAGCTGTCGCAGCCAGGCAGGACCCCGGGAGCTGCCGCAGAAGCCTGCCCTGTCAGCGTCTGAACCAGAGCTCACAGGGTGGGCACGTCGCCCAGGTGACACGCAGTGAGACCACCCCCGGGGCCCCAGGCTCAGGCTGACCCCGAACAACCAATGACCCCCCGACCTGGAGGGGCCTTCTCCCCAAACTCCGCAGGGTCCTCACCAGCCAGCCCCTCTGTTCCTCACCCCCCGGGCGAGGGCGTCGGCCCAGCCTCCCCACCTCCCCTCACTGCTGGCCGCTGTGCCCGGACCCCAGCCCGCAGAGAGCCGCCCGCCGGGGGGGTGGGGGACCCAGAGGCCCTCACGCTTCAGCCAGAAGACCCCGCCCCCCGTGGAGGTATGGACCAGGCTGGGGCGCAAACACGCAGCCGGCAGGGAGGATGGACGCCGACCACAGACCGCGGGTCCGAACCCCACCGGCCCGCGGGCAGGCGCACACCAGTTAGGCAAGGGCAACGCACGAGCCGTTGACTTGCATGACCACGGCTAGCCTTGCTCGGCCGTGGCTGTGCGACCCTTAGACTTTCGCTCTGGGCATTGGATCCACTCTCCTGTATCAGGGGTAACAGGGCCAGTCCCCGCTGAGCCGCCTGCCCAGGCCGCCGCGTGCGGGCACACGCTCCACCCGCACGCGCCCCTTTGGGAAGGGGGGCACGACCACGGGATCCTGGAGCCTCGGGGGCCTTGGGGGCCCCTGGGGCCGGTCCGGACTGAGCGCCCACCCCGGGCCTGAGGGATCTCCGTGCAGTGGCAGCAGCAACGGGCTCTTCAGCCTCTGCTCCTGGTGACAGTGACGGCCCGAGGCAGCCAGGCACCCGGTTCCTCTCCCGGAGATCAGCCTTCGATACCTTCCTACCCTCCCCTGCCGGGCTCATGCGGCCGGGCCTGCGCTGGCTGCGTGAACACTGCCGAGGTTTGGATGGACGCGCTTCTCAGGGCCGGGGGCACGCACCTCGCCCAGACCCATGGCCCCCTCTCCTGTGAAGAGACCCTGGTGCGGCCCAGGCAGGTGGCACGTGCCCTTTCCTCTGAGGGGCCCCCAGGCAGGGGAGGGATGAGGGATCGTTATCTGCAGCGCAGACCTTCCCGCAGACCCTTATCTCCCAAGGGTGGGACCGGTCGCTGCCTCGCCCAAAACCTGCACCCTCGCTTATCTCAACGGAAAATTCCAGCAGGGATTCCTGAGCTTAAGTGAGATTCCTCCGCTCCGCCGTCAGCTTGGGGCTTGGCTGCCGGCCCGGCTGGGCGGAGGGGGGCAGAGCCAGGTCCGGCCCCGGGGCACCCAGGCTGGCTGCAACAGGACAGAGCCCGCACGGAGGTGGCCGCCCCGGGTCACACAGGGTGACGCTAAGGAGCAGAGGGCACCCGCGGAAGGGGAAGGGTCAGGGCTCCTCCTCCCAGGGAGAAATGCGGACAGACAGGCAGGTGGAGGAGAAGCTTTCTGAGCCCAGCGTCAGCGTGAGGGCCGTGTGCGGGCCTGGCGCGTGGCACCGGGGGGCCCTGTGGGGCTCTGTCACCGAGTGTGGCGTCCGGGGCAGGTGGCCGGAGGGGTGAGGGTGGGAGGCTAGGGGTGAGGGTGAAGACTAGGAGCCACCTTGTACTGAGCACCTACTGTGTGCCGGGCACTGTGTAAGTCCTGGACTAGGAGCATCTAACTTCGCCCCTGCCCTCCCAGCCAGGCCCCCCGCCGCTGGCCCTCTCCCAGCCGCACCCCTTCCTGTGGGCCTGGCCTCCAGGCCCCACCCCCGTTTCCCCACCGGCTCCTGGGACCCCCAGGGCACGTGCGTTCCCCACAGGCCGGGCCTCCGCCCGTCTGCGTCTTCCTGCCGGGTGTGCGTCCCTGCAAATGGCGCACGGAGCTGAGCCTGGCTTTCATCCCGGCTGACCGTCCCGCCCCCAGGTCGGGGCGTCCGGTCCGCTTGCCTTCAGGGCAGGTACCGACGGGTTCTGCCCGGGTCTCCCATCCCCCGCACTGGGTCCGCCTGCTCCCTCTGCCCCTCCTTCCCGTCCCCCTCCCTTCTCCTCTGCGTTCCCTTCCCCCACCTTCCCTGCGGAACTGCCACCGTGTGGGCGCCGGTGCCTCACGCCCCTCGTCTGCAGACCCCACGGTCCGTGCGGGGCTCCGAGTCCTCTGACGGGCCGTGTCGTGGTTTCCCTGACCACGGGCCACGTGGCCCTGCCCCCCCTTCTGTCTGGGGACAGTCCTCGAAGAGTGAATTCTGTGCTTGACGTCGTGGCAAAGGCGCACGGCACCCACAGTTGGGCGAGAGAGGGGGCTCGCCGGCCGAAACCGCTGCTAAGCGAGCAGACCACACGTCTCTGGGGGGCAAGCTGGGACCGAGTGTCCGTGGGCTCGGGGACACGGCCACCTTCGACTCCGCTGTGGCCCCACAAGCAGGACACCTGGGGCCGGAGGGCGGAGCCAGGGAAGGGGCTCCCGTGTGTGGCTTGTCGGCCGCGGTTAGGCACTCTCGGCGCTGACGGTGAAGTCACTCGCCCTCGCGCCCGGCTGGCCGCACCAGGAGCTCTGGCGGGAGGTCAAGGCGGACAGTGGCGGGGGCGGGGGCGGGGAGTGCTGCGGGGTTCAGCTCTGGGCATACAAATACCCGAGGTCTGACCGACAGGCTGTGTCTCGGGGTCATCCGGCCTCCTGGCTGCGGGGTTCCCTCTCTTTTCCCTGTTCCGGCCCAGCCCTCCCTGGATTTCCGGACCCACCAGCCTCCCCGGGAAAGGGGCTCCGGAGCAGAACCCACCCCCCTCCCACCCCCAGCAGCACCCAGCACCCAGCTGCCACCCAACCCTCCCAAGCCCCCAGGCCCCCAGTGGGACCCCCTACACTCGCTGCACGGGAGCAGCGAGGGACCGACTCACCCCCCACGCCCCGTCCCCCCACCCCACGGCGGGATGAAGGCCGGCTGGGAGGTCGGGCACCTGCAGACACGCGCCGGGTCTGCCTCCTGTCTCCCCCCACCCTTCCTCTCCGGCCCCTCCCTCCCGCGGCCCGAGGAGCTGGCTCCCCCGCCCCCGGAACGAGCAGGGAGCAGAGACCCTCCCCCGCAGCAGAGCGGCGGGGGGGGGGCGGCGGGAAGCCGAGGCTCCTCCCTGCGGGAACGGGCACCCTCCGTGGGAGAGCCCGGGGCCCAGCAGGTGCGCCAGGAGAGGCTCCTGGTCTCCGCGGAGGGAGGGCCCCATCGCCTGGTTCTCAGAGGGCGCCCGGTGACTCTGTCCCGCCAACTGGCACGTGGGCCAGGGAATGGTGGCCACTGAGAGGGACAGAGACAGAACGTCGCCCCCTCGCCCCCCCGCCAAAGCACAGCCAAGCACAGCATGACACGGCCACCCGGGGAATGAATGGGTCCAGGCCCGGAAATAACTGGAATACCCTGCACTTTGGGGGGGGTCTCCCCCGACAATCCAGCATCGAACCCCCAGAGAGGCGAAAGCAAGTTCCCGCCCAGACCGGGGAGCGGGAGGTTCACGGCGGATCCCACACACGCGTGCGCGCCAGACACACGGACACGATCGCTCACAGCCGTCCCCTGCGACCGGCCGCTGGCCTCGTCGCGTCCCCGCGCTCCTCTCTCTCAGCCAGGCGCCCACGCGTCCTTGTCCCCTTACCTGGGCCTGTCAGGCAGGGCCGTCCCTCCTTCCTGGCACCAACCCCGGCCCGGCCCTCAGCCCCGGCCCTTCCGCCCCACCCCCACCCCGCTCCCCAAGGCCACAGGCCCTCCTCCGTCTTTGGAGGGGCGTCTCGCCTCGTCCCCAGCAGGGCCGCCAGGGGCTTCGGCCAGCAGCTCACCTCTGGTGCCGCACAAGGACCCGGTCCTTCTCTAAGAGATGGGGCCGGAGCCCGTGGTGGTCGCAGGGAGAGAACAGGATTGCCCCCCTCCCCTCCCTAGCCCCCTTATAAAGGACAGAGTGATGAGGGAGAGAGACCCCGAAGTTTATTAACGCGTATACCTCGTGCGCACCTGGGAGACGCTGAGGGGACCTGAGCCCCTCCCCCGGCGGCCCGAACCCCCCGCTAAAATCCCACCCTCAGCTAAAGACGCCGGACGGCAAGAGCCCAGGCGAAGAGGGGGTGGCAGGGAGAGCCCAGGCGGCGGGCAGCGCCGTCTGAGGACTTGTGTGCCTTCTCTGCGGAGGGTGGCTGGGCAGCTCAGCCGTCTCCCTCCTCCCCACCCCACCCCGGGCTCAGAGTGGGGACGCCTTCCCGCGCGGAGACACCCTGTGTTCCCGGGCACTGCCCGCAGGAAAGGGCGCCCTCTGCTGTCCCCTGAGCTCCTCCCGCGCTTGCTGTTTCCCAGAACCGTCAGCTCAGACTCGTTTCCCAGGGGCCCGCCCGGGTCTGACGCTCGCCCCGCAGGCCGCAGGCCGTGAGGTCCAGGCCCCAGGCCACGTGTGGCGGGCGGACAGCGCCGCTTCCTCCGCTGCGTTTGTAAAGCGCGCGTTTCCTCCTGACCGTCCCGGCGAGATGCGCGGTCACTGTGCACCCGACGCACCGCTCCGCCTGCCGCCTGGAGACCCCCCCGAAGGCAGGGGCCGCGCCTCGCTCCGCCCCTC